GGGGGGGGAAATTTAGGAGCCAGTTATTCAAACTGGGGAATGAGGGATCTGGGTTTTTTTTTTTTTTTTAAGATTTTATTTATTTATTTGACAGACAGAGATCACAAATAGGCAGAGAGGGAGGCAGAGAGAGAGAGAGAGAGAGAGGAGGAAGCAGGCTCCCTGCTGAGAGAGAGCCTGATACGGGGCTCAATCCCAGGACCCTGAGACCATGACCTGAGCTGAGGCAGAGGCTTTAACCCACTGAGCCCCCAGGCACACCTGGGGTTTTTATTTGTAGGCTAATATCTTAGTTTTGGGTTGAAGGCTGCTCTTAAGGGGCAGGTAGGTGGCAGAGCAGATTACAATGGTAGGAAAAGCCCTTAGGTAGAGAAATGGAGTTGCTGGTAGTTGGATGCCTGGGAGGTACGCCCTGAAGTGGTAAGGGAAGGAGATGAAGGTAGGCTACCAGCAGAATTCTTTGTCCCAGTCTCCTGATTGAGCTTCATGGCTTCTTTATTTTTTTTCAAGATTATTTATTTGAGAGAGAGAGAGAGAGAGTTTGTGTGCATGAGCCGGAGGGAGGGGCAGAGAGAGAGGGAGAGAGTGAGGACAAGTAGACTCCCCACTGAGTGTGGAGCCTGATGCGGGGCTCGATTGCAGGACCCCAGAATCATGCCCTGAGCCAACATCAAGAGCCCGACACTTAACCGACTGAGCTCCCTGTGTGCCCTGAGCTTCGTGGTTTAATGACAGGAGCACGGTGGTTTCTGGAGTAGACTGACCCATGCCTGACACTTCACAGGTATTCCTTAGTATTTTTCAGTTATATCTCCTTTTAAGAAGGCAGGGGAAAGCGCTCCACTCTTCTCCATAGTTTAGCCTTTAAAAATGATCTCAAACCCTTCTGTATGTAAGCATTTCTAAGCCAATACACCAAGGGCTCTATCCAAGTGGTTTCCCCTCAGAGTGCGGGAGCCCGTTATGTGACAAGCATAGTAATAAATGCTGGGTGTGCAGAGGTGAGAGGCATGATCCTGACTGAGGAGTTCCTGGGCCAGGGGCTGGTTATTGAGTGGCTGACCTAAAGAACCCTTTCCAAGTGATAAAAGACTTCAAGTAAATCACCTAATCACAAAAAGTGTGCTTGTGGGTGCTTTGGGATTCGGGTCAAACGTTCCTCTCTTTCAGATGCTGGCTCCATCTTGTTGGCTGAGTGACATTGGATGAAACATCCTTAGTTTCCTCACTTGTCAGATGGGATTGCTGATACCTACTTGTGGGATTGTTAGAGAATTCAGTGCACTAACCTTGATAAATAGACCAGGTTTGGGTAGAAGAGAGGACAGGACATGGAGAGAAGGTTGATGGCTAGGTCACTTACTATATATCTTATAAGAACTAAGGTAGGAAGAATGGGTTTGGGGGCTGGATCATGGAAGGCATTGAATCTCAAGCTCAAACAGACCTTGGGTCATGGCTGCAAGGGCAGTGAGGTTTCATTGCATCTCAGAAAGGCTGAGGGAAAGGGCCATCATTCAGTCTTCACACTAATAGGATATTCTTGGCTCACTGAGCTATTCATGGGCATGGTAGAGACCAACCATATTCTTATGTGGAAACATAGCAATTTAACACTGTCAAAAAGCAGAAACAGGGGCACCTGGGTGGCTCAGTCGTTAAGCGTCTACCTTTGACTCAGGTCATCCGCAGGGTCCTGGGATCGAGTTCCTCATTGGGTTCCCTGTTCCGCAGGGAGCCTGCTTCTCCCTCTCCCACTCCCCCTGCTTGTGTTCCCTCTCTCACTGTGTCTCTGTCAAATAAATAAATAAAATCTTTTTTTTTAAAAAGGCAAAAACAGACCTATAAATACAGAGAACAAACTGATAGTTGCCAGAGGGGAGGGTTGGGTGGATGGGCAAAATGGGTGAAGGGGGTAAGGGGAACTATAGGCTTCTAGTTACTGAAGATGTAAGTCACAGGGGGTGGGGGGAGATAAAAAGGATAGTGCAAGGAATAGAGCCAGTGATACTGTGAGAACACTGTGTGGTGACAGCTGTGTCGGTGGTGAGCACAGCAGAGTGTAGACTGGTTGAATCACCATGTTGTGTGCTGGAAATTCATGTAATGTTGTGTGTTGACCAGACTTCCATTTAAAAATAACACTATGAGGACCACCACCTGGTGCCAACAAGGTCTGGATCTTAAACTGTACATTACTGGAATACATTAGGTGCTGGCCCATTTTTGGTCTTGAAGGGGGAGGCTAAGGCTTAGCAAGGTGACAGTCTTTTAATTATAAGTCTACTTTGTGAGAAGACCTAGATGTACAGAAGTTCAGAAATTCCCTCTGTTGACAATGCCATCTGACGGATGGGTGTCCTGGAAGGTTTTGAGAGAGCCCTTTTCTGTTTTAAAATTGAGAATGTTTGCAGTTTCCAACTCACGTGTCACACATGTTCCTTTGGTCTTTGTCTTCAGCTGCTCATGTTTCCCACCTGGAAAATGTGTCCGAGGAAGAAATGAACAGACTCCTGGGAATAGTGTTGGATGTGGAATATCTCTTTACCTGTGTCCACAAGGAAGAAGATGCAGATACCAAACAAGTTTATTTCTATCTATTTAAGGTGAGGTTTTTTACCATTTTTAAAAGGTGTTTTTTCTTTCTCTCATTGTTCAGATGTGCTCAGTTTCTGCACACCAGGTCGTGGGTGGGAAGGCCCTCAGCTCATGATACATTTGCCCTCAGGGTTTGTGGAAGCATGCGATTCTTCATGAGGGATTCTCTAAAATGACCCACCACGTGTTGGACACATTACTCTCCTTGAGAGCCTTCATGTTTGTGTGCAGACTTTAATATCTTGATTTGCTTATGTGTGTAGATTTCTTTCCATCCACTCATCCGTTCATCCATCCGAGTATGTGTTGCACACCTGCTCTGTGCTCCGTGCATGGCACCCATGTAGGCATGAGGAATAGATCAGTGGGCAAAGTCCTTGCCCTCAAGGAGTTGACTTTTTAGTAGAAGAGGCAGACAATCAACCAGTAAATAATATATTTGCAGGTGGTGATAAGTGCTGTGAAGAGAAACAAAGTAGGGTAAGTGGAATCAGAATGGCAGGGATGGTGGTGGCGGGGAGGACACGATCATGAGGAATGGTAGTTAAGAAAGGCCTCTCTGAGGAGACCACAGATGAGCAGGAACCTGAGCTGGGGGACAGGAGCTGTTGCTGAAAAGGTCTGGGGGAAGAGCTTTTCAGGCAGCAGAAACAATGCCATCTAGTGATGGTGTGATGTGGGAAGAGCAAGGAGGCCAGTGTGGTGGAGCCCAGTGACCAAGGGGAGGGAAGGAGGAGATATGGTTGGAGGGTGGCCCCAGGGCCTTGACTCCCACGCTTCACAGAGAGGAATCAGGAATTTCCAAATTTGGGCATCTCCCTACTGTCCTGTGTCTTGTTGACCCCAGTCACCGGTCACCAGTTACTGCTCCCACTTCCCCACTCCCCGTAGCTGCTGCTTCCTGCTCTGCCTGAGCTGCCCTTGGGTCACATCCATCCCCTTTCTGCAGACATATGCCTCCCCATCTTCTGACTGCAGTCAGGATGGACAGGGGTAGGAGAGACGTGGGTAGTGGGAGCAGAAAGATGAACCTCAGGGCGCCAAAAATACATTCTTAAAGGGAGCAGACAGAAGAAATAATTAAAAAACAGAAAACTTGCTTTTGAGGGCACTGTTGATTATGTTATACTTAAAAGGTTCTTTAAAAAAACAAAGCAAAACAAAATGCTCCACTCAGAGCTTATAGCCAGGAAAGGTTTGCCTCTTTAGTGAGTACCGTGCTTCATTTTATATGACAAGGATAGAAAAATTTTCCATTGAGTTCCTCTTTTGCTTTAGCTGCTAGGAATCTCAGTGCAATTTTTGTGCTCAATTCCTGTAGCTTTTTTTTTTTTTTACACGATCTGAATTTACTTGATACATAATTTTCCCTCCTCCCCGTTTATTAACTTTTGTATTTTTTTTCATTGTTGTTTTTTTGGGAGGGGTGTTACTTATGGGAGTTTGGGGATAGATAGGAGACAGGTGTGGAAGTGAGAATTGTATTTTTAAACTTTGGGGTCATGTGTGGGGATACTGGTTCTACAAAGATAAATGGGAGGTTGGAGGGAAGAGAAGGGGGGTGGGGGGAGAGAATGCACCGCTGAGTTCCCCACCGCCATTAGCAGGCACTGGTCTACTCCAGGTGACAAGTTGTTGACATGGCTATGAGTCCTGAGTCATCCAGATTGAACCCTGGCAGGTTCATGCTGTTTAGAGCTTCTTTGGAAAAAGATGTTAGTTGAAGAAAAACAAAGTCTGCATGACTGCAGTGATTATTTTTCTTGGAACTGAGTGGCCTGGCAGCCCCACAGCCCTGCTGGAAATGAAGGTGGTGTCAAGGTTTCCATCCTGCCGACCTCCTCAGGATTCTGGTTATAACTAACCAAATAGGCCAGGCAGCACTGCTCTGCTTTGAAGCCCGTTTCTCTCTCTCTCTCTTCTCTCTTCCCACCTCCCTCATTTTTAACAGCACAAATGTATTTACTCATGGGAACAAAATCTAAAATATTCAGCATTCTCCCCCACCATACCCCCCCCCCCGCAGAGTTATTCTTTGGGCCAATAAGTAATAAATCCTCCATTCCTTAGCTTTTGAAAGGCAGTTCCTGTGTCTCCTACATCTCAGTAATTAAATTAGAATTAAATGTATTATTCCTTTAGTAACATTTAAAAAACTTCAGGCTTAGATGTTGAAAATAAACCCAATGAAAAGCTGCTTCCTAAACTCAGTGTTTTCCTCAACCGTGTAACTGTGGCACCAGAGCTCGACTCTCTGGGCTTCAGTCCTGGCTCCATCACATGTGAAAGGTGACTTTGGGCGAGACATTCTCCCGCAGTTTCCTTATCGGTAAAATACAGTGATAGCGCCTACATCTGAAGGTTGTTAGGGGTATTAAATGAGATACAACATAAAGAGTGTCTGGGGAACCTAAGGGTGCAAATGCTTGCCACTGGTATTAAATTTCTTTTCTGTGGCCACTTAGCCCAGCTCCATCCTTTTGTAGATGAAACTGACATTCAGCATCTCCCCAACCCATTAGTTTATCTCCAAATTGAAACCCCCAGTGGACCAAGTTTTCAAATGGTCTTATTTTAACTGGGCAAAGAAAGTAGGCAGGTAGAATGATCTGTATTGAATTTGATGATCTATCCATATCCTTAGAAACATATTAGTGACTTTTCATTACTGCATGTTTATTTTTTATGAAAATGGGCACAATACATTGAAAGGATCAACAGATGCCCCACACTAATTATGTATATGGCGCCTCAGAAGGAATTGAGGCCCTTATAAGACATGGTTCAGGGGAACACATGGGGACCTCGAAACTTTGTCCATTTCTGTTAACTCGTGGGAGCATGATTGCCACATCTTGTTTCTGTTGAAAAGGCAGTAAGTGGAGAAAGGAGAGAAAGATAACTTAAACGCATGGTCATGCCATACCTGGCCCACATGTAAAGGTCACAGGATTTTCAAGCAAAGGTTGAAGGTAAAGGATTTCAATATGAAGTTTATTTTCAAAGTAGGTCTTGATTAGTGACTCTTTTTTTTTCTCTCAGATATATATTCTTTGAGAGCTTTAAATTCCAGTGGCAAGGATTAAGAGCGGTGTTTTGTTTTGTGGGCATTGAGATGCCAGAACATTTGGCTTGTATTCTGTGCATGGAGAGGAAATGAAAAGAGACTCCAGCAGTGAAAGTTGCCAGTTGAGAGCCCTGCAGAATTCCTTCCCGAAGGGCCTGGGCCCTAGTTTATGCATAGGATGCACAGCTGGTACAAACAGCCCTCTGCCCTGGCCTCACTTGCACAGAATGGCTCCTTGCCTTTCGGGGGTTTAAATATGAACCTTCTTCAGGGAGCCTGGGTCGCCCAGTTGATTGTGTCTGACTCTTGGTTTCCGCTCTGGTCATGATCTCAGGGTCTTGAGATCAAGCCCTGCATGGGTGTGGAGCCTGCTGAAGGGTTTCCCTTTCTCTGTCCCTCCTCCCATGTGCTCTTTCTTTAAATAAATAAAAAAATCTAAAAAACCAACCAACCAACCCTCCAGAGCATGAGCACAGCCTGCAGGCGGCCTAGCTGGGCATGGGCAGAGTGTGTGTAGGTGTTGCATACCAGGCCTCTGGGTCAGTGGGAATCTGGAAATGGTGGGGAGAAGGGAAAGTGACTAGGATAGAGAGCATGGTGCTACTGGCAGAGCTCTAGGCTGTGCAGAACATGGAAGGGGTTCAGTTTCTCATAACTCTGGTCGGGGCTATGAAGGCAAATTTGGGTTACCTGGTAGTCACCCACTTTTATTGACTTAAGGATTTATTTACATGTAGATAAGATAATTAGAATATGGTGACTTCCCTTCAGAGGCTGTGGTGTGTGTGTGTGTGTGTGTGTGTGAGAGAGAGAGAGAGAGAGAGAGAGACAGACATTGATTTTTTTTTTTTCTTAATGATTTTTTTTGCAGCTCTTGAGAAAGTCTATTTTACAAAGAGGAAAACCTGTGGTTGAAGGCTCTTTGGAGAAGAAACCCCCATTCGAAAAGCCTAGTATTGAACAGGTAAAATTTTAGTGGGGGGACGCCCTTATTTTTATTGCTCTAAGGCTGAACAAACCTAATCTTCCATCTCTCCATGTGTCTTTCTTCCGTCTTCTATACCCAGCTTATAGATGCTCACTGAGTGTGTAGAAATTGTCTTGGACCCTTTGCATCAGAAGTGAATACTTAATTTAATAAATGATCTAGCTGTTGTCTTTTACGGTTGCTGTATATTCAGAATTCACTGCGTTTGGGGAAGAAAAGAATTAAGCAGAACATGTAGGTCGTAGGAACACACGGAATGTGCTTTTTCTTGGTGTTGATGTTTTAAAATTAAGTCTTTGTCCTTTTGTTTGGCACTGTCTGAAAAAGCCTATTGAGGTGAGGGAATTCAGGAGCATTGTCAAAAACATTGTAAGTCAAGCAAAAAAAACACAAAAAAGAAATGAGGTTTTGCATCTAGAAATTGACTTCCTGTTACATTATGATTCCTGGAAAGAAACCGGTTTACTTGGGGAATCTGTTGACATATATAGACTTTTTCTGTGAAGTGTTGTTTCTTTCCTCAGAGTCACTTTTTGGCCCGCCATTCTTTGGCTAAAGAAATCTCAGATACTCTTGACTGAATTTCTTGATGAGAATGATTACAGAAGATAGGACATCAAGGTCTCTACAAATACAAATAAATGTATTTTTATCAGTCAGTTTTCAGTAGAAGAAATTTTACTTTTGTCTCCAAACTCTATTCAGTAAGAATTTATTTGAAATTAGATTAGTTGGGAGTGTTCTACAGAAACATTGAATTAATCCGCAGATTCTTTTAAAAGCTCATGATTTTGAATAAGATTTTTTTTTTCTTGGTAAGCTTGCTGAAACCAAAAGAGTGATAGTAAGCAGTTTAAATTGTCATACTTTAGTTCAGTGGAAGACATGCTAGCAGCTTTCTGATTAAAATTTTGGTAATGTAAAAGTGTAATGTGTATCCAAGAACTTCATATACATGATGGACATATAGGACATATACATGATGTCCTGTATGGATAGTGCAGCAAGAATTATTCTGCAAAATAATCCTGTTTTATTGTTTAATAGGTTTTGACCTTTTCAGTCTGTGATTCTGATTTTCTCTTTAATGCTTGAGGATTGCAGCGGGCATAGAATAGCAACCCACAGCTTCTCTGTCTTGTCACTTTTCATCCACTGTGATCTGTGGCACGATTCCCTCTGGGCATTCCTGTTTTCTAATAGGGAAAAGGAAGAGATTTTTGTGAATAGAGAAATGTCTGTTCTCTAGCTAATCGCCACCAATGGCACTGACTGTGTGGGTGTTCAGAATTAGTACGATTGCACAGCTGTGTGAATAAATTGCCTTCTCTCCTTTTCAGGGTGTGAATAACTTTGTACAGTACAAATTTAGTCACCTGCCATCCAAAGAAAGGCAAACAATTGTTGAGTTGGCAAAAATGTTCCTAAACCGCATCAACTATTGGCACCTGGAGGCACCATCTCAACGAAGACTGCGATCTCCCAATGATGATATTTCTGGATACAAAGAGAACTACACAAGGTGATTTGATGACATGTTCTTTTCTTTTGGCCTCTTAGAACCCATTGCAGACGTAAAATTACTACTTGTCCCTACAAGCAGAAGGTTGCCCAGTTATTGTGGTAACTCCATCAATTCAGAGAGAATGTTTGTATAATTTAACTTCTTATTAATACCATGATATTTTGGGGCGTGAGGGATCCAAACCAGCTAGCCCTATACTATCCAGTTTGATAGTTGATAGCTACATATGGCTATGGAGCACTTGAAATGTGGCTCGTGTGAATTGAGATTTCGAAGCATATACAAACAAACAAAAAAAAGAATAAAATATTTCATTAGTAGTTTTTTTATATTGACTCCATGTTGAAGTGATAATATTTTGGATATATTCAGTTAAGTTATGTTAAATTAATTTCATCTGTTTCTTTTTACCTTGTCAGTGTGACTATTGGAATATTTAAAATTACTTTTGTTGCTTACATCGTATATCTGTTGAACATCACTGATCTAGGTAACCATACTGTGACTCTTTAATGATTACACAGAAACTTTCATTCATTTAAAAAATAAAAAAAACAATGACCACAGATATAATAGCATTAAAAAATGTTTATAAAGAAGGAAAGGTCACGCTAGTCCCAGCACCATGATGGAACCGTTATCATTAAACATGTTGTCTTCCAGTCTTTGCCCTCTATTTTATATTATTTAGAATGAAAAAAAATCTATAGAATTTGCATCCTGTTTGTCCCTGTACTTAACAGCATATCAAACATTTTACTGGTTACATTATGGTCAGTTGAGTTGATGTACTATAATTTGCCCAACTCTTTCCCTGTTGGTGGACATCAGGCTGTGCAAATATTCTTCGATTGCATGTTTTTTTCCCTTAACATAAGAATTTGTTTTTACTGTTTTTGAATTACAGAATAATAGAACTAACTTTAAAAATCTTAAACATGGGCCACACAAAGTAAGATGACCTACATTTATTTTCATTTAAGTAGGAGAATGACTTGATTCCCATTTTATAACTTTCCTCCTTTTGTGTTTTATTTATTTAAGTAATCTCTACACCCACTGTGTAGAGCTTGAACTCATGACCTAGAGATCAAGAGTTGCATGCTCTTTCGACTGAACCAGCCAGGTGCCCCCACCCCCTTTTATATTTTATAGGCACATCAAGCTTGCTTCAGGAAGTATTTCTGACTTAAAGTAGGCAATTTTTTTTATAACCTGAGGAACACTTGTACCCAGGTTATTATTTTTTTTTTTTTTAAGATTTATTTATTTACTTGAGAAAGAGAGAGTGTGTGTGTGAGCAGGAGGAGGAACAGAGGGAGAAACTCTTCAGGAGGACTCCCTGCTATGCGTGGAGCCTGAGGGGGAGACTCTATCTCAGGAGACCTTGAGGTCATGGCCTGAGCTGAAACCAAGAGTTGGACATTTAACTGACTGAACCACCCAGGCACCCCTCCAGGTTATTTTCTCTAACAGCAGATGACATGTAGGAGTGAGTATAGTTTAAGATGAGTTTTCCAGTGGCTCAGTGGGTTGGGCTTCTGCCTTCGGCTCAGATCATGATCTCATGGTCCTGGGATCGAGTCCCACATCAGGCTCTCTGCTCAGCAGGGACTCTGCTTCCCCCCCCCCCCCGCCTGCCTCTCTGCCTATTTGTGATCAATCTCTCTCTCTCTCTGTCAGATAAATAAATAAAATCTTAAAAAAACTATTTTAAAAAGATGAGTTTTCCTCTCTGACCATTGACCCAATATTCATGAGTAATATCCCCTTTCCTCTCCTCCCTTTACAATATATGTAATTTGAATTATAAAGTATTTCCATACTAATGGACTTTTATAGGAATTACAGATTTCTTTATCAGTTTTTTAGAATTACATACTTCTATACTTTCATTTTAGAATTTTTTATGAAATAATACAGTTCCTATATTATTTTAAATGTCATTTATAATAAGGGTTAAGATAATCTATCAAAAATATAGGGACGCCTGGCTGGCTCAGTCAGTCGAACATGCAAGTCTTGATCTTGGGTTCATGAGTTCGAGATCCACGTTGGGTGTAGGGATTACTTAAAAAATCTCTGTGTGTTTGTCTTTTAAACCCACCTGTGAATAGTTGGCTAAGGTGAATATTTGCTAAAGCCAGACCTCTGGAAGTATTTACCACTCTTAACAGAGGAAAAATTGCTTCATCAAGAAGGAGAATTAAATGTAAAGCAGCATGGGAGGTATTACTGTATTTTAGAAAACAGTAAAAATATGTACCGTGTAGCATTTGGGAGTTACCAAGAAATGGGTGGCACTTGCAAATACTTAAGGAGTAGTAAAATTAGAAATGGAACGTTGAAATGAACAGTGGGTTTGAATCATAGCTCGTTCCCTCCCTCAGTCTGTATGATTTAGACCAGTCACTTCACCTCCTTGACCTTCAGTGTCTTCGTCTGTCCGAGTCTCAGGAGTACCCTGAGTGTTCTGTGTAGCGTCTGGCACACAGGGCGCGTGGTAGGAAGATGCTAGTCATTGCTTTCCTCCCACACGTGTTCTCTAAAACTCAGTTGCTGTCAGCGTGGGACTCTTAAGCTAGAGTGTGTACAACTGAAGGAGAGTATCATTATTTGACTATTAACTTTAGAAACTAAAATAACAGGGAATAGAAAGACAACAGCAGATTCCTTACCAGCCCAGCCTCTTGGACCACGGGCTGAGGGCGGAAGGAAGACCGGAGTCCAACCACGGTGAAGAGAACCCTGCTGAGAGATTGGAATGAGTACACCCCGATGAGTTCCGAAATCTGCTGATTTCTAGGTGGAATGGAGACGAGAGCCTCTGTTAATAATAAATAAGGAAATGAAGGTAGACGATGCTCACCTCCCCCGCTTGCCCGCGATCACGCCACATAGATGAAGAAAGGGAAGTACAGAGAAGCAACCTGTGAAAATTATGAGAAGCAGTAATTGTTTCAGAGTAAAACCTCACTGTCATGAGCACTTAGGATTTTAATAAACCACACACCACTATAGCATGGTGTCTCACCGATACTCATCTTCTCAAAAATGGGTAATATTACAGGCTGCAGGCACCACCAGGTTTTATCTTGATGTGTAAGTGAACCTCAGGACCTGTAATGCTGGTTCAGTATATAATTTACAGCAGTTGTAGCGGTTAGAACAAAGGGGCTGAACGCTTTTGGAGCTTGTACGTCAGCAAGGAAATGGGGGGAAATTGGATTCTCTGTGGAAGAGACCAGACTCAGAGAATGATTATTGCAGAGCTACCCTGTGAAGGTTTCCAGTAAAAAATTAAGTGCAGATTGAACAGTAGAACTGCTTAAATGACTTACTCCTCTCTGTTCTGAGTGAAGGAAAAATACGAATATTTTGCATATTGAAAATATCTGATATTGTCATGCCAACGTATAGGTAGTGTTAATAATTAATGGAAGTATATATCCCCGGAAATCACTATGGATTTAGAAAAAGATCTGGACAAATGTTTTGAAGTTTCCTGAATTTCGTGATGGTGCATTAATATAATTCCATGAAGAAATAACCAGAAAATAAAGTGTCTAAAGATGGCGACTTTTTTTTTTTTTTTTTTTTTTTTTAAGATTTTGCTTATTCATTTGACACAGAGACAGCAAAAGAGGGAATATAAGAAAAGGGGAGTGGGAGAGGGAGAAGCAGGCTCCTCACTGAGCAGGGAGCCGGTTGCAGGGCTTGATCCAGGACCCTGGGATCATGACCTGAGCCTTAAGGCAGATGATTAACGACTGAGCCACCCAGGTGTCCCTGAAGATTGTGACTTTTTCAAATACATCTGACCAGCAGAATCTGCTACTAGAAGTGGTGAATAATTAGTTTTAGATTTTGAATTGTGCAGATCTTCTGAAAGGTGTGACGGTCACCCCTATACTGGGGAGCTGTTTTGTAAGAATACAGTGCAAGTTAGATATAACTAAGTTGATTTTGGTGAAACAGTTGTATGTAACCATTGTTGCGTGACTAAGCATTCATCATTAGGCATGTAAGTCTAGGACAGTACACAGCAGGAACATGGAAAGAACAGTGGGCTAGGGGGTAAGAGACCCCCAAGCCTTGAGTTGGGGTGAACAGGTCACTTAATTCCTACAAACCTTGGGATTTTCATTCCAGCAAGTAGGATGACATGGTCTGTGCTCAAGTTCTCCAGTTCTGTTCACATTTAAAAAATTTTTTTTTAATTTTTTTTTTAAGATTTTTATTTATTTGACAGGCAGAGATTACAAGTAGGCAGGGAGGCAGGCAGAGAGAGAGGGGGAGGCAGGCTCCCTGCTGAGCAGAGAGCCTGATGAGGGGATTGATCCCAGGTCCCTGAAATCATGACCTGAGTTGAAGGCAGAGGCTTTAACCCACTGAGCCACCTGGGCGCCCCCTGTTCACATTTTTAAAGAAAACAAGGTGGTTGCAAATCATCATGATGCTATCAAAACTCTTAGTTATTTGCTGCAAACACATGCCATTTTTATTAGTCATACATAAATGAATGAACTATCCTTTCACTGGTTTTTAGAAGACCTGAAACCAGTCATTTAGGTAAAATCTTTTCCTACGGTCAAGTGTTTGGAGAAGTGTGTGTGCAAAGACGAGGCATACGAATTCCCATTTCTTCTTTCCATCCCACCCTGCTTGATGACCATGTCATTTATTTAAAGTAGCACCCAGACACCACCCATTGACTCAGTCTCTGTCTTACCATCCCATGCACCTTAACAGATTGATCAAATGAAATTAATCTTGGAAGTCAAAGCAAAGCTAAAAAGTATCAACTATGGTCTGTAAAATGGTTTTCAGAGGAAATGAATGGAAGTCTATTACTTGAAACATTTTACTAGACAGTAACAATCTGTGTTGCCTTCCCTTACCCTGGGAAGATTGCATGGCCTGTTAAGCATTTCTTTTTAGCACTTCATGATTTTATGGTAATATTTATAACCTACCACTGCTATAGCAGAAATAACATCAGTTTTAAATAGACTCTTGGACATCTGTGACCCCTCCACAGATGGAAATGCTCTTTAGACTCAAAATCAGCACCTGCCATAGACCCATAGTGTGAGCCACAAATGTAATTTATAATTTTCTAGTGGTTACATTTTGAAAAGTAAATAGGCACAGGACATTAATTTCAATAATGTGTTATTTTACCCAAGATATAAATACTATTTCACTGTGTGATCAATGTGAAAAATTATTAATGATGCATTTTTACCTTCTTTTGTGTGGTCTTTAAAATCCAATGTGTATTTTATCCTTATGGCACATCTCAGTTCATTCCCTCAGTTTTAAATGGTCAAAGCTAAGTGGAGTCCTACCAGAGCAGTAAAGTTATGTTTCATGGAGAAATATTTCACACTGTTTCCATTTAAAAGCAAATTTTAAATTGATTAAATGCCATTAAAAATTGAGCTCCTCAGTTGCCCTAGCCACATTTCAGGTACTCAGTAGTTACATGTGGCTGGTGGCCTTTTTATCTGCACAGATCACAGAACACTCCCAGCAGCAAAGACGGCTGTTTCGGACAGTACTGGTCTAAATCCTGAGAATCTTTAATCTTCCAGTACAGAAAATTGGACATATTTTTAACATTGTAGTCTTGCGATGGCCCAAGTCTCATGAAACTGAGTTTCTGATTATTAAAATTTGTAACTTTAACTCTTAAGGTTTGTCATTTCATAATTAGTCACTCGGGAGCTGGCCTCCCTTCAGCCCCAGATATCTTATAACCTCATTAAATGGCCACAGACTGACATCCAGCTGAGGCTGGCCTTGAAGGTGATACAGTTCTGTACAAAGCACAAAGTAAATGCTCTTGGTAGCTGTCCGCTACCAGGATCACTGTTCCTGATTTTGACAAGATACAGTGACACTTAAGATGTCCATTTGGGGGGCACCTGGGTGGCTCAGTGGGTTAAAGCCTCTGCCTTCGGCTCAGGTCATGATCCCAGGGTCCTGGGATCGAGCCCCCGCATCGGGCTCTCTGCTCGGTGGGGAGCCTGCTTCCTCCTCTCTCTCTCTGCCTGCCTCTCTGCCTACTTGTGATCTGTCTGTCAAATAAAGAAATAAAAATCTTTAAAAAAAAAAAAAGATGTCCATTTGGTAATCATAAAATTACATTTGGGTATATAAATTATTAAGACAGAAAAGCTGGGAGAAGTATAGAAATAGTAGCAGGATTTTAAGGTTAATTTTGAATTTAGGCAGGTGAACTTGAACTAATGAAAATTGTCTTTTCGGGAGAGGAACTACCACCACTGCCATCACACACACAGGGAAACTATGAAGTGATACAGAGTAAGATAAAGAAAGCAATAAGCACGAGTTAGTGACTGTTATTCCGCTCTTTATTAAGGGTCTGAAAGTTCGTCAGGAGCTTCCCATTTGCAGTTTGGGCCCCTCTGAGCCCTCTGTCCCACTGTAAAGATCAGGGAGGCATACAGCAGAGGTGTTCATTTTTAGAAAGCAGTCCTGTCCTGGAAAAGGATGTTTGGCTCTGCTACCAAGGAATAAGGATCTTCTGAGGTTCTGAGTCCTGGTCTGGTGCCACCCTTTGACCCCCACTCTACAGTGATAGGAATGGGTCCTGGGTATTTGAGACCTTGCATCCTGGCCGACCATAAAGAGAGAGGGCCGATTTTGAATAAACTTTCATTTTCCAGCTCCTCTTGGCTGAGGGAGCTTTCTACATTGTGTGCCCTACATAGCCAGCGTACCCCAGGACTGTGGTCAGATCTTAAGAAAGCCTCTGGTTTCCCTCTGGGCCTGGGCACTTGTCCAGCTTTCTGTAATGCTGAAGTGCATTTTTAGGTTGGAGACTGAGTCATTGAAAATGTACCGAAGCGACAGATGGTGAAGCTTATTACTTCCTGCGTTTTGACTGAGTTTTGAATAGTCTTGAAGATCTTTATCTTCCCACCAAAGCTTCAGGGGTATGTGAGTGCTGTGTAGGCATTTTAAATTTTACTCAGAGAACGAGTTGGTGGAATTCTGAGTCTTTCACAAACGGGACTTCCTCAGCTTCCCCTTTAATTTCTTTTATTTAAACTACGATTTAGTACCAGAAACTTGAATTACAGTGTGTATTCTCCATACAGTTATCTCCTGGCATGGGTGTACCAACCCAAGAAAGTAGGTATTATTGCTGTCCCCCTTTTACAGATAAGGATGTAGAGACTTAAGAACATAATTACAGTTTCCAGGTCATGGCAAAGCAGGGGTTTGACCCCAGGACTGTCTGACCACAGGACTGACTGCGTGATGCTGCAGTATGGGATGGTTTTCCTAGAACTGGACCCTAGTGCTTGTAAACAGGCGAGCTCCTCTAATTCCCAAGTTTTCTTAGCTGGCAGGGATATTACTGCTTATCACTGAGATCTAGTTTCTTCTGCTGTGGTTACTGGTGGGAGAGTCACCGTCATTGGACATGTCAGAGGACCTGGGCATTTAAGGGATATTGATGGTGCTTGTCTCCTCTTATCACAGGTGGCTGTGTTACTGCAACGTGCCCCAGTTCTGCGACAGTCTACCTCGGTATGAAACCACCCAGGTGTTTGGGAGAACACTGCTGCGCTCAGTCTTCACAGTCATGAGACGACAACTCCTGGAACAAGCAAGACAGGAGAAAGACAAATTGCCACTTGAAAAACGAACTCTAATCCTCACCCATTTTCCAAAGTAAGAGAGCACCCTTGCTGGTCTTTGATCCTGGAGCTTGTGATTGATAAACACACACCGAAGCCTGTATCAGTAAGGAGATCAGGAATGCCAGCAAAGGCATCCCAGGGAAGAGGAAGAAGGGACCCTCTCCTTCTCAGCTCCCCTTGTGGGTCTTTTTCGGTATTGCACAGTGAGCATATCCATTGTTGGCGTGAATTTGTGTTGCTTGCAGACATGGTTCCCTTGGCCCCAGCTCATCCCACCTGGATCCTGGTCTCTGGGTCTCGCAGTGCGATAGTGCTTTGTTTGGTGTATTTAGCTGCCGGGAAGCTAGAGGAGGATGGGGGGAGTGGTCAGAGCAGTTTCCATCTACTTGGCAGGACAACTCAAGTGGATCTTTTTTCCCATCCCACATCTCCAGCGCTTTCGAAGCCTGGTGAATCACTCCTGCCTCAGCTACAGTTAGCCTGTCCCCTCGCTCTTTGTGAACTAGACTCCAAGAGCAGGGCTGGACCGGAATAGAGAGGCTCCCTTTGGAATGATCTTCATGTCTCTCTGCTCAGTTTTTTGTAGAATGTACGGAACTCTTGTGCACCTTGCTTCTTGTACCTGCAAGAGCTCATAACAGAGAAATAATCACTTAAATATTTTTCAGATGAAGGAAATGTATTTAAATGAATCAGAAGTTTCAGTGCTGGACTCTTGGCCTGGGAAATGCATTTTCAGTGCTAAGAACCAAAAATTTAAACTAAAAGTCTGACTGCTCGTGAGGGGCTGAGGGTACAGTTGCCGACTTGTCTGTGGGCAGCATTCTGCCTAGACCAGCGCTTCTAGTAAAGGAGGCAGAAGCTATCATTGGATAGGGCTTTCTGGGTTCGATAGAGACTTTGTTTTCCACACCATTGAGAACTGCTGGTGTAGAGAAGAGCATTTATTTATTTATTTACTTATTTAAAAAAAAAAATTTTTTTTAATTTGATTGACAGAGAGGGAGATCACAAGTAGGCAGAGAGGCAGGCAGAGAGAGAGAGGAGGAAGCAGGATCCTTGCCGAGCAGAGAGCCCGATGTGGGGCTTGATCCCAGGACCCTGGGATCATGACTTAGGCCGAAGGCAGAGGCTTTAACCCACTGAGCCACCCAGGTGCCCCAATTTATTTATTTATTTATTTTTAAAGATTTTATTTATTTATTTGACAGAGAGATCAGAGGCAGGCAGAGTGAGAGGGGAACAGGCTCCCTGCTGAGCCTAGAGAGCCCAATGTGGGGCTCGATCCCAGGACCCTGAGATCATGACCTGAGCCGAAGGCAGAGGCTTTAACCCACCCAGGCGCCCCGAGAAGAGCATTTATTTTTATTTATTTATTTTTTAAAATTTTATTTATTTATTTGACACAGAGAGAGAGAGATCACAAGTAGGCAGAGAGGTAGACAGAGAGAGAGGGGGGAAGCAGGCTCCCTGTTGAGCAGACAGCATGATGTGGTAATTGATCCCAGGACCCTGAGATCATGAGCTGAGCTGAAGGCAGAGGCTTAACCCACTGAGCCACCCAGGCACCCCAGAGAAGAACATTTAAAAGAGGATGTATTACATTCTTTAACCAAGTACTGATGATGCCCTGTTTTAGTAGGGAAGCTAGATTTTTATGATTAAGTTACTGTTAATTGGATTACCCAGTTTATTTCTCAGGAAAGATAGCTTTAATTTTTAAGAATAAGTTAGGTCCAAAACAACCACAAAAATATTTTTTTGCTAGAAATTAACTGTAAATTCCTTTGCAGTTTAACACAAATCCTAAACTGTGGGTAGAAGATGTCGTGGGTAGTTCTAGTGAGCTTTAGCTGAACGCCCAATATTTGCAGATAAATCCTAGCATCCTGAGTTTCAGTGTTTTCTTCAGGCAGCTGGTTCCTGAGACTGAGGCATGACAGGAACATTTTGGTATTCTCCAGGGAAGAAGGTTCAGAAGTACTGGAGCTGCCATTTGGGTGTTGCCCCTAAGTGGGTTAGGATCTCTTACGCATGCTCTTGTATCTAGTAGCTGCCTTTTCACTGGTCTGAGCTGCTTTCCTTCAAGATTGAGAGCAGTTTTCTTTTCTTTTCTTTTTTTTTTTTTTTAAAGATTTTATTTATTTATTTGAGAGAGAGAGAGAGAGCGAGCGAGCGAGAGCATGATAGGAGAGGGGATCAGAGGGAGAAGCAACATCCCACTGAGCAGGGAGTCTGATGCTGGACTCAATCCCAGGACTCCAGGATCATGACCTGAGCTGAAGGCAGACACTTAACCAACTGAGCCACCCAGGCACCCGAGAGCAATTTTCTTATTTCTCTATTACATCTGCCACATAAGCAGCATTTTATATTTTTATAGTTGTCATTCTGTGTCTCTAAGCCAAGGCACAAAGAGGACCCTCCCCCCTGCTCCATCTTTTATGGTACTTAAAGAGAAATTTTAATTACCTTACAAAGTAACAGGATTCCCCCCCCCCAAAGCAATTCATTTTGCTTCTTGCAGATATTTGTTAATTATAGTGTGTTATGTTCCTTCATCCCATAGTTCTGGCATGCTTATGCTATTGAGTTAAAAAGTCAGTGCTGGTTTTTTTCTCTTCTCTGTTACTAATGGTAGGGTAAAGCTACCACCCACTTCTCCTTTTAAATCCCTCGTCATTGAATATGACAACATGGAGGCTGATGGGGATTTATACCTCTAGCCTTGGCAGCAGAATCACGCACATGGAAGCTTAAGGTGCTGGTGGAGTCTTGGGTGCCGGCTCAGGGTAGGAGCTGTGCCTGGCCGCACGCCACTCCCCGAGGTCGCTGTGATTCTCACATGCATTTGCAGGGCTCACATCCTCATCTTCCTCCTCTTCATATGGGCCCTTTCTTCCGTCCGCTTGGCTTTAACTTGTGCCTTTCCTCGGGCACTTGGGTGGCTCATTCAGTTAAGCATTTGCCTCTTGATTTTGGCTCAGGTCAGGATCTCAGGGTAGTGGGATCTAGTCCTGTATCTCTCAGCGGGGAGTCTGCTTTCCTCTTTCTCCCTCTGCCCCTCTCCCACCTTGCACTTGCTCCTGTGTCTCTTTCTCAACTATATAAATCTTTTAAAAAATCAGTATGTAAATAAACAAAAACAAAACTTGTGCCTTTCTTCCCATCTACCAACTTACAAGATTGTTATTAGAAAGGTTCAGCATCTATATTTTACCCTAAAAGTGATAAATAAACGTGCATGCTGATGAAAATTTGGTTAAGAGAAAACAAAGAAGCAAAAGATGCCTCCCAAAGCCCTACCACTCTGAACTACTTTTAGTGTTTTTAGAGATTTTTGTTTTACACCATGGATTGTTCTTTTATTCTACGTACAGTTTTGAATTGTATCTATACACAAAGTAAGCCCTCTCTCATGTCATTGCATGAAACTATTCTTTATTATAATAACTATATTTACGTATATATGGATAAAACACACACACACACACACAGATATATAGAATATTTTTCCTAAATTAGTAATGGCATTCTTCCTTGGTGAGTCTCTGCAAGGCTTTGTGAAAGAGTGTTCTGATCATACAATTACTGCTAGAGAAGGAGCCTAGAAAAGGAAAAGAAATTTACTTCTGTGATGAGGGCCGTTGCGGAAATCTTGAGGGCTGTGTAAAATAGGAAGGGAAGAAAAGGCCTCAAGCACTTTCTTTCTCCTCAGCAAGATCACAATGTGATCTCAGTAAGGCTCTTACCTCCTACTGCTGTCAGTCTTTCTGTGATTGGTAAGAAACATACCAAAATGTTTTAACATGTAGCATAATGGTGGCTTGGTTGGAAGTAGAAGTGACTCATGCAGTTTCTGTAAACCGTGAATTAAACTATCGTGTACGGGTAGGTACTCATTCAAATGGTACCTTGTTCTTGAATCTGAGATTTAATCTGAGCAGCAAGTAAGAAGACCCCTCGGGCCTTTCCCCGTCTATTTTCACTTCAACAAACAAACATCTCCCACCCCTGAAATCATTTAAAATCGTGCAGGCATTGATAGGTGAGAAGAATTGTGGTACTTTTAGTGATAGAGATAATGATGATGATGATACTGATCCTTGATCACTTGTCCAAAACCTTGATACTAGTGTTTCAGAATTCAAGATTTAAAAATATTTTGTAGAGGTAACATGACACGTATATTATATATCACAGTTCTAGGGATAGGGACTGTCCCTCTAAATCATATCTACTCATAATCGTAGAAACTATAAATAGTTTTATGTATGTTCAGATCAGATTGTTATGAAATGGGTCATGGAAGATCTTTTTTTAAGAGCTTTTGGGGTTCAGAATTTCAGATACAGGATAGTGGACTCATCATATTCAACCTTTATTACATCATTGCAGCGTGAACTTCATGAGGGCAAGATGTTCACTCAGTCCTCACAGCACCTAACACAGTGCCTGGCACAGGGTAGACGTCCAGCCAGTATCTGTTGAATGGATGAATGGAGCACTTACATGGGGGTCAGGCACCATTTTATGTTGAACATTAGCTTATTTCTTACTGTGAACCTTTGCAGGAATTACTGTTGATATTTCTGTTTTATGGAAGTGGAATCTGAGAAAGAGGAAAGCTAAGAATTTCAAGGATCACAGAAATTGAGTGGTGAGCTCGGCCAGTGGATTCTAGAGCCCAGGCTCTTAGCCATTTTTTTTTTTTTTTAATTCCTCCACTAGAATGTATGTGCCTTAAAAAGAGGCTTGTAGAAAGGTATTCCAGTACCAGATGTGTAGACTTGTGTTGGTATTTTAATCATAATTCTTTAATTTTTGTGTACATAAGTCTAAGGTACTTCATCAAAATTTAATTATCTAGGCCTGTTCTTATGGACTCTTTTTCAGTAAGCCCAGGTAGAGTTTGGTTATCTATATTTCTAACAAGATCTCCAGGTGATTTTTGTGGGTCCCCAAACTTTCAGATCTATTTGGTTTATAACTTGACAAAAAATATAACATAGTAATCAACCACAGTCTGATCCTAGCCCTGTAATTTACTAATTGTGGAACTTTGTGCCAGTGATTTAATATCTGTACTTTAAGTTTTTTTCTTCTGTAAAATGGGTATAATAATGGATTCTGTGTCATAGGTTTGTTAAGATTACCTGAATTAATAATACATCAACCATTTAGAACAGTGTTTGTAAGAGTTATATACGTGTGTGATAATAAAAATAAAATATGTGGCTCTTTGGTTTGATGTGAGGATTTGATAAGAAGTTCATAGAAGAGTATAGGCACATGGCAAGCACTTGATAACTGTTAGCTTTTGGGAAGGACAATGACAGTGGTAATGACAGCTACATAGGTGGTGGAAATTTTTTTTTTTAAAGATTTATTTATTTATTTGACAGAGATCACAAGTAGGCAGAGAGGCAGGCAGAGAGAGAGGAGGAAGCAGGCTCCCCGCCGAGCAGAGAACCGGATGTGGGGCTCCATCCCAGGACCCTGGGGTCATGACCTGAGCCGAAGGCAGAGGCTTTAACCCACTGAGCCACCCAGGTGTCCCAGATGATGGAAATCTTGCTCTGAGGAGAGGAGTACTCAGTGCAGTGCATTCCTACTGATAGAACACTGTGCAGTCTATCATGTCAAACCATGCAGAATCAGAAGAGAATAAATTTGTAGAAATGCATTTTTTAAATTTGAATATCCTGGAGCCACCCACAGATCATCATCCGAGTCATCATTCATGAGCGTCTTTCTGAGTTGAAAGTGAGATGCTGATGTTGGGGTGCTTGCCATAGATGTTTAGGGCTTTTCTCCCTCTGGTAGTGCATTAGTTTTTTATTTTACTGTTGCTTTTACTCTTGGTGCCTAGGTTCCTGTCCATGTTAGAAGAAGAAGTTTATAGTCAAAACTCTCCTATCTGGGATCAGGATTTTCTCTCAGCCTCTTCCAGAACCAGCCAGCTAGGAATCCAAACAGGTAAATTTCTTTTTGCATAAATTCGAGAACAATCGGGAAGTGTTAGTCACAGCTCACTCTGCATTTATTTGCGTTTTTCGTCAAAACATTGAAGAACAGAGCCAGCAAAAAAGTAACACTGTGGCAAATCTTGCATCTGCATCTCTGTTAATGAGCGCAGGTGCAAATCAGTTAAAACCAACTCCTCCTTGTACTAGTGGGTTTGCTTAGCTTGCGCATTATAATTTTATAAGAGGTGTAAAATATCACACAGCTCCACTGTATAGTCAAATGCTGGCTCTTTTTAAAGACACATAAGGTCTCTGTCCATGGCCAGATATGCCTGGGAATCCAGTCTTGGTCTGCTTTGTGAATCCGTGGTGTCTGGTGGGTGGTGCATCAAGTTACTCTCATGGATCAAGGTAGGGAGGTGAGTGGAGAGGAGCAGTCTTGAGTCTCAGGTCATGAGATGCTTCCCAGTGGGGCCAGAGCACCCTTGGCATTGCATTGAGTGGCATTGGCTGGTATTTTTTGACAAAAGAAGAGACATGAGACTTCTGGAGTCACACCAATCCCAGAGAGAGGATCTGAATTGTGGCCTTTGACACTAGGAAGACTCTGGAGAAGTTTAGCAAGAGAGGCCAAAGCAGTCATTTGTATGTGGCCACAGGGAAGGAGACTGCAGAATTTCGATGTCAGTTTTTAGTGTATCTAGCTCAGTGTGTAGTATTTTTGCCTCCAGCAAAAAAAAAAAAAAAAATTTACAAAGTCACCTTCCTGAGTACATGGTTCTGTGAATTCTGACAAACACACACTGTATAACCACCAGTTATACAGTATAACCACCAGTGCCATCAAAATACAAAACAGTGGCCTCACCCCAGAAAACTCCTTTGTAACCCTCCGTCATCCGTTCATTGCCCTGCCTCCAGCCTTGGCAACCACTGGTCTTGCTCTTGATCCTGGAGTCTGCCTTTTCTAGAATGTCGTATGAATGGAATCGTATGGTACACCATTTTCTGAGTCTGACTTCTTCTTTCACTCCACGTAATACATTTGAGAAGGTGATTAAAAAAATATTTTTTTTCATCTAGAGCCCAAGTTTGGATGCAGATATAATTAAATCCCTACCAAGCAGAGTACTTAGGGAATGAGGTAGTTTGGCTCGGATCAGATCCTTTTTGTTTGAATTCTCGTTTTTAGAGGCTTGCGTTTTTAGCAGGGTCAGGACGTGTTCTCTGTGTGGCTGGGGATATCCCCTGCATTGCGCTCTTTGTCCCTGCGCTGTTCACTTTATCTTGATCTCATCTGGTTTTCAAATGACATCTCTCCCACAAACCCTTTCCTTACTCTTCCCGTGCCTTCCATACTCTTCCAAACTTTCACAGAACCTTGAATATATCTTATCTTTGGTTCTCTTAACTTGGCTGCCCCGTGGCGTCACTCGTGATGATTTAAAATAATACTGATTGCTGAGGCTTTTCCCGAGAGAGTGATATAATTGGTTTTGCCTAGACATTGAGCCTTTTAAAAGCTCCCCAGGTGATTCTGATATGCAGCAGTATTTGAGAACTGCTCTGTCATACAGCACTTAACTCCTGCTATCCTAACCCTGTTTTTCTATAAGCCTTGTCTCCTCTGAGTTTGACTCTTGGGTGGTGAGAGACCATTTTCCACAATAATAATAACAACATACTTCCGTTAAGTGCTTCCCTATGAAGTTTGCTTCATATGAAAGCCTTAGCACAAACCCTGAGAGGTGGGTATTATTATCCCCTTTATGTAGATGAGAAATAGAAGCTGTGAGAAGAGCACCAGGTGGGCCCACAGGCAGAGCTGTGGGATTCCTTAATTGCTTCCTTTCGTGAAGAGCTGGACTCTAGCCACCAGCCCGCGGTACTGCTCTGGCATGTGCTGCAGACGTGCAGGCAAATGCTTGTGGGAGGAACCTGTGAAGAACACAGTGTCTTCCTTCGGGCAGGGGACAGCAAAGCTGACAACTGAAGTTGACAGCAGGGTCGGCTTTGTTCTTTTCTGGAGGCTCTTACCAAGAGGATTCCTCTCCCTGTCTGAAAACTCCCCTTGACCCTTGCCTGCTCAAAGTGCTTCCCAGTCTGTTTGGCTTCCAGCACATTCTGTGCTGTAGCACAGGATGGAGAAGGTGGACGTTGTCTCTTGACTCTCGGGATTCCACATTTATTCTGTGACGAAGGTTGTAACCCAGTTGAGCTGTATTGTCCTCTTTAATTCTACCCAAAGCTGTCAGAAGCAGGCTGCCTTTTCCTGTTCTTCTGTAATTGCAGTGTGTTCTCTGGGGGGAAGGAAGAGTGTAATCATCTACTTAATTGGCATGTCTGCACGTCTCTGCAGCTGTGATAAATGACATTTGTAATGATGGCTCTGAAGTTTTGCAAGATACTCAGATACTCAGATGACTTCAGAGTCACCGGAGTTCCTCTTTGTGTGGAATCCCTCCAGCGCACTTTGAGATTCAGAAGGCCTGTATCCTGGAAGTGAAGCCACATAGCCTGGCACTTAAGTGTATTCTGAGCGCTATGGAATGCTGTCTCTGTTGCTCCATTCATGGCCTCCATCACTTTATTGGCTGTTCAGAACATTCTCTGGGGGCTGAATGGTGGCTGCATTGAAACTTAGTTGAACACTCTCTGTGGGCACCCAGCTGCCCTGCCTTACTCTGTCCTGTATGAGACCAGTGCCACTGAGAAGGTCTATGTCCTTCATCTGCTCTCACCCCATTAGCTACAGATCAGCAGCACACTCGCAAAGCAACGTCCTATTTCCTACAATGGCTTTATAAAACAAAACAAAATGGAGAAGTTTTTTATTTGTAAACACTCCCAACTTACAGAAAAGTTGCAAGAGTAGGACAAAGAAATCTTGTATATTGCATCTCCTTTCCCCAGATTCACTACTTATTAACATTTGGCCATATTTGCTTTATCTTCTCCTCTTTTTTTTTTTTTCCTAAACTGTTGGAAAGTTGCAAACATCATGCCCCTTTACTGAGCTCAGTGGGTATCTCCCAAGAACAAGGACATTCTCTTACTTCACAACAGCACAGTTATCAAAGTAAGGAATTTAAGCTTGATGCAATATTATTATCTAATCTGTAGACTGCTTTCCATTGTGCCTCTTATCTCAGTCATGTGGTTTATAGCAATTTTTGTGCCGCTTCATGAGGCACCTGATGTTGGCCTTTTTCCTTGTTGTGGGGATAAGCTTGATCACTTGGTGACGGTGGTCTTTTCATGGTTTCTCTGCTGTAGTGTTAACCATTTTTCCTTTGGCAATAAAGTGTTTTTTGTGGAGAGATACTTTGAAATTATCCTGTCTTCATGAAAATTATACTCCCAAGGTTTAGCCTGCACGGATGATTCTAACCTGAATCAATAATATTATATGCTGGCGCCAAATGGTTTTTGTTTTGTTTTGTTTTTCCCTCCTTAACATCCATCATTCCTTCCTTTTTATTTATTGATGTTCTCCTTTGAGGAAGACTTTTACCTTCTTGCCCACTTGTTTATTTATTTATTTATTTATTCTTTTATTTTTTTTTTCAATATGGACTCAGATCTCCTTGCTCTATCCAATGGGCTATAATCTGTTACTTGCTGTATTATATCCTCACATTGGCCCCAAGGCTATTTTATTTTATTTTATTTTAATCAATGAATTAACTTTTAAAGATTTTATTTTTAAGTCTTCTCTACACCCAGTGTGGGGCTTGAACTTACAACCCTAAAATCAAGAGTTGTATGCTCCATCCCCTGAGCCAGCCAGGTACCCCTCCATGGCTTTTATTTTGAAGATGACTTTGTTGTGGTGTTAGGACGGAATGGGATGGTTGCATGTGCACTTGGTTCCTTATTGCCTAAGAAAGGAGTCATCTAATACCTTTTTTTCTTTTTGGGGCCAGTCATCAGTCCACCTCCTGTAGCTGGGACCATTTCATATAATTCAAACTCATCTTCTCTTGAGCAACCTAATGGAGGGAGCACCAGTCCTTCCTGCAAAGGCTCTTCTGGGCTTGAGGCAAACCCAGGTAAGCTCTTAACCGGGCATAAGAAGAGGCTATGATTTGCTGTAGAAGTTCTGTTATCTGGGGAGTGCCATAGGTAGAGTTAGACCAACTACAAATTGTGCATGTCCAGGATTTCAATGGCTGGAAATCACGTTGAGCTATACTGGTTAGTTATTGCTATGCAACAGAGGAACCCAAAGTGCAGAGACTTCAAACTGTAGTCATTTATTATCGTAGCTCACTCATTCTGTGTGTTTGCTGGAAGGTGGCTGATCTCAGCCAACCTCGTTCAGTCTTTACTAGGCTTGCTCGTGAGTCTCCCTGTTGACCGGGAGCTCTGTTCTGGGCTTGGCTAGAACACTTAAGCTGGAACTTCTCCGTTCCACATACTTCTCATCCTCCTCCTGGGCTCCCTGGGCTGCTTTTCTTTTTCTTGGGGCAGAATATGTCCTTCTGAAGAGGCCAGAAGCACCAGAGAACAAGTAGAAATACATACAGTTTCTTGAAGCCTAGGCTCAGAACTGGTATTGCATCACTTCTGCCTTATTTTGTCATCTAAGGCCATTACATGGTCAAACTCAGAGTCAAGGGGTGGAGAAATGTGCTCTGCTTCTTTTGTAGGGAGAACTGCAAAGTCATATGGCAGAGTGTGGATACCAGGATGCAAAGAATTTGGCCACTAATATAATCAGTCATGTGGGCAAAAAATATCTCCTAATCCTGCACACATTTCACAGTCACAGAATGTTTTGAAGGTTGCATTTCTGTCCACAGACTTGACATTGAACAAATCTTGGGTATGACCAAAGTTTGACATTAAAGAAGTGGCATAAGAGAGGGAAAGAAGAAAAATTTAAATGTGGGACCACATATTTAGTGTATGTGACACTGTTTACTCTCTCTCACTTCCGAGCGAGGCATCACTAATCAGTCCCAAAACTCTTTGCCGGTAAGCTGGGATATAGCCTCAGATACTTTCTTACCATAACTCTATTAGCAGTGTATCAATTCTGAGGCATACTACTTATAAACCTCAGCTACAAAATAAGTATTTCATAGCATTACTCTTGGGGAATCATGGAACTTGAAAGCTTCTTGGTCAGATGACTGAAAATATTCTCATTTACCTTTAATAACAACTAAAAAAGTTACAAAACAAGAACTCAACAAAAGCCATTTAGTAAGTGACATAATGTTTTTGAAAGCTTCTCTTATAGATAAGGTACTTTACCTTGTTCTGTTAACTAAAGATGGTGAGAATGCTCTGTGGAAATGTACTTAGTGGGATTCAGACATGGGGAATAATTAGATTTGAACATCTAAAACATTTTAAAATTTTTAATTATAAAAATAAATCCATATTATGATGGCGGTGGGGGGGCAAGCATGATAGTAGAAAGGACAAAAAATCACCACATAATCTAAGGAGGAAAATTTTCTTTGTCTTTTCATGGCCTTTCCCAGCATGTGACAAGTTGAGAATGGCCCTGCTCATTTGTGAGGTATCATTTTATGGCAAAAAAAGCATTGTGAGAGATAAAGAGGGTTATTTTATATTGAAAAAACTAAATTCACTAGCAAGATAAAACATTTGTATATTTCAGATAGGTATAGATGTATACATAATATACACATATATACACATACAATATACACGTATACATAATATACACATACTATTCATACACACACGTATACATACATACATACATACATGAGAGAATTAACCACAAAGAGAAATAACCTCATCCACAAATAGTTGAAGGCTCAAAGCAACATCTCCGAATAATTCATAGTTCAAGCAGACACAGCTATCATTAAGGATATAGACGCCCTGAAAACATAATTAGTAAGCTTAATCTGATGGATGTACAGAGATCATTATTGCTAAAAGTCAGAAAATCACACTATTTTCAAGAAGACACAACACATTTACAAATAATTGGTAGTATTTTACATTCTCAAGTAAGATTCAAAAATTTTTGGTGTTTTGTTACCATATGGACCATGTTCTTTGACCACAAAGGGACTAAATGTAGAGATTAGTAATCATGATAATTGAAATCACCCTTGCATTTGCATATGAGCAAATACATGCCTTCATAACTCATACAGCAAATAAAAAAAATTATCATAGAAAATACTCAGAATGGATCTGTGGTTGGCAGTTACTGTGACCTCCTCCTTTTTCTTTCCCATCTTCCGCTGTTGCCCCTTCCTTGGGTAAATGGAGAGTGACTTCCATGCCCATCAGTGTTCACAGAAAGTTAGTTAGATTAGTGGGCATGTATTACCTGCTTTGTGTTTAAGATCATCCATTGTTTGCCCTTTTATTTTGATCATCACAGGAGAAAAGAGGAAAATGAATGACTCTCATGCCTTGGAGGAGGCCAAGAAACCCCGAGTTATGGGGGATATTCCAATGGAATTAATCGATGAGGTCATGTCTACCATCACAGACCCTGCAGCAATGCTTGGACCAGAGGTCAGCAGGGTAAACAAGAGCAGCGCAGCCACCTGGTAGACCCTTTTTGTTTTCCTGGCCACTCCAGCTCTTGGAAACGGGGGTGGTATCATTGAGAGAGAGCGTGTTACGCTATCCTGGTTTGCGTTTAACCAGCTGTTCATGGTGTGGAGGGCAAGACAAGCTGGTGGAGAGGTGATTCCCTTGATAAATATCACATTACAGAGAAACATACTAATCATACCACACAGTTGAAGGCACTCCCACCTCCCTAATGTCTTAATCTTGAAATATTTAAATCCTCATAAATGTTAGAAACATTCCATGATAAAGAACCATGGTTTTTGTTTTTTTTTTGTTTTGTTTTGTTTTGTTTAAGATTTTATTTATTTATTAGAGAGACAGAGATGACAGAGAGCACAAGTTGTGGGGGGGAGAGGGAGAGGCAGGCTTCCCACTGAGCAGGGAGCCTGATGCTGGGCTTGATCCTAGGACCCTGAGATCATGATATGAGCCGAAGGCAGCGCTTAACTGACTGAGCCACCCAGGCATCCCTGAGATCCATAGTTTCTTTATTTAGATTCACCGGCTGTTAACATGTTGCATTTGTATTACCTCTGTCTTTCTCTCCTATGAACCATTTGGAACCATTTCAGAATTCAGTATAGATGTCATAACATTTCACCTCTATATTTTCCTGTTTCTTAAGATGAAGACTACTCTTTTACATTACCATGTAACCATGTAGTACCAGGTAACCATGTAGTTACCACTATCAGAAAATTTAGCTAGGTTATATTTTCTAATGCATGGATTTGCAAACTACAGCCAAATCTGGCCCACTGGCTGTTTTTGTAAATAAAATATTATTGAAACATTATTTATGTCTTCCTTGCACTACAAGAGCAGATTTGAATAATTAAGACAGGTGATGTATGACCTGCAAAGCCTAAAATACTTGTATCTGGCCCCATTATAAGAAAGTTTGCTGACCCCTGGCCTAATGTATAGAGAGCCCATATCTGAATCCCCACTGTTGACCATATTATGTCCTTAGAACATTTGTTCCTCTTGTTGAAGGATCAGGCAGGGATCATGAATTGCATTTAGGTTCTTTCTCTTCATCTCTTCAGTCTCCCTTAATCTAGGACAGCTACCCAGTCCTTTTTTTTTTTTCTTTTTTTTTTTTTTTAATGGCAGTGCCATTGTTAAAAGAGTCCTGCTCACTAGTTTTATGTAAGCACCCCTTTGGATTTGTCTGTTTACTCGTGGTTGGATTCAAGTAAAGCAGTTTTGGTAAAAGCTCCTTTATTGCATTGCATCCAAGGCAGTTTAAGACATTTCTGGGGCTCCTGGGTGGTTCAGTCAGTTAAGCGCTTGACTCTTGATCCAGGGTCATGGGTTCAAGCCCTGTGTTGGGCTCCACACTGGGCTTGGAGCCTACTTTAAAAAAAAGAAAACAGACATATCTGACAGCTTCCAGGAAGTAAAGAACTGGCTTGGAGATTATTTGGTAAAGTATCTTTTAAAAACTTTTTAGTGTGGCTCTGCTACATCAGTTTTTAATTTGTCATGCTTCTGAGATACTTATTTTATGGTATTGAGGATAAGTTAGAGAACTAGAATAGAATGTTTTAAGAGAAAGACCTCTTTGTAAGATTATTCCTCACATTTCCTGGTAGATATCCAGTCCTGGTGTCTAAGACTGTAGACCTTTTGTGGGCTTGTCTCTCAAGGGTTTAGTAACTTCACAAGTTAGTTTAGTTCAGGTTTTTCAGCTGTGAAGTATGGATGTCAGCACACATTTCAAAATTTGTTGGGTAGATTTGATAGTGTAATGAGGTTGGCTTGTAGAGGCTTACACAGGCAGTTGTTAAATTTTCAAGAATTTTGTGAGCTGGGTGTTAAATATGTTGGTAGCTTGAAATTGACTACAGTTGCCCTGGTCACCTGGGCAGCCAGTGTAGACCAGTGGGATGAACAAGTGCTCCCATTTGGGGCTTTTCTTCCCTGGGGGACTGTTGAACATGTACCTGCACACCCCTGGGTGGATTAAATAGAGCAGGAGAATAAGGTGCTGGCACAAGGTTGTGCTGCCAGTTGCGGCTGAGAGTGGGACGGCAGATACCCTCAGACAGGACACTGTCCTCCAAAAAGAGGTGCTAACACCATAAATGTGACTGCCACTGTTGGGACTGTGATGGGAATTTTGCAACTCAGTTACCCTGAGGGTCCCGTAAAGCTTAGCCAGGTGGGATTCCTCAAACCAGGAGTTCGTACACAGGACAAATCTGGTCTGCTCAACCCCTGCCCCCCCCCCTTGTTAAAAAAGATTTTATTTATTTATTTGAGAGAGAGAGAATGAGAGAGCATGAGACCGGGGAGGGTCAGAGGGGGGAGGGTCAGAGGGAGAAGCAGACCCCTTGCCGAGCAGGAAGACTGATGTGGGACTCCATCCCAGGACTCCAGGATCATGACCTGAGCCAAGGGCAGTTGTGTTACCAACTGAGCCACCCAGGCACTCTACCCCTTCCCCCTTTTAAATGTTTTATTGGAGCCCTACTACACTTATTTATTTATTCATTCATTCATTTATTCATGAGAGAGAGAGAAGGTACACAAGTAGGGGGGAGGAGCAGAGGGAGAGAATCCCCAAGCTGACTCCCTGCTGAGTGTGGAGTCCTCTGCAGGTCTCGATCTTACAGCCCAAATCAAGAGTTTGACACCTAACCAACTGAACCACTCAGGCAACCCCCTCCCCGGCCACCATTCACTGATATATGTCTATGTCTGCTTTCACACTACAGCAGGGTTGATTAGTTGCCACAGAGACCTTATATTTACTATATGGCCCTTTACAGGAAAGTTTGATGGCTCCTAAGCCATGCCAGATATCCATGTATACACATGATACTCTAATCTCTCAAAATGCTTTATCTCCCGTTTCCCTTTCAGTTTTATACCTTGTGTATGTTGTTTGGGTCCCTGAAAATTCACAAATGTGTATCTTATTAGAACAAATCAGAGAAGCATGGAGGTGTCCCGTCCGCATTGTCTTAAGAAAGGAGTTGTGTCTAATTTTTCCCGTCTCCCGCAGACCAATTTACTGTCAGCACATTCAGCTAGGGACGAGGCAGCAAGGCTGGAAGAGCGCAGGGGCGTGATTGAATTTCATGTGGTCGGCAATTCCCTGAACCAGAAACCCAACAAGAAGATTCTAATGTGGCTGGTCGGTCTCCAGAACGTGTTCTCACACCAGCTGCCCCGGATGCCAAAAGAGTACATCACACGGCTTGTCTTTGACCCGTAAGTGGGACTTGGCTCTTTCTTTCTTTCTTATTTACTTTTTAAATGAAGGGGGAACCACTCAGATAGTGGAAGTAAGCCAGGGTCAGCTTCCGAATCCTGCTGCCTCTTGTCACGCTGGGGAATACAGAGCCACATCAAGGTAATTGCCACGACTAAAAGCAGTCAGATGAATTTTTCAGCAATTCATACATTTCTTTGTTAATAAAATGAAACTCTGTATTTTAAGTTGCTGGTGACTGTCCTATGGTTCATTCATTATAGCAGTGAAGAAATACAAGCACCAAAGTAGATGTCCTACTTTGCCATACTCAAAACAGTCTTGAATTTGGTATTTTAAGTCTGTACTGCTGTTGCTGGGTCTTAATTTAGGGAAAATTATTGGGCTATCAGATAGGTACATTTGAAAATCCATTGCTTTAAATAAAACCCAAATAACAGAAAACCTAAAGTTCTCTAATTGAATGTACTTTAACATACATAGCCTAGCAGCCTATATGGAATGTGATCTCTTAATGTGACAATTCAGTGACACCTGAGACAGAAGTTCTGACAGGATTCTATAATTCAGGGTTTGGTAAATTGTATGTGAGGATTTTGTATTCTCTTCTGTAATATTTCTGTAATATTTTTGAATCAGAGTAACCCTTCAGAAACATGTCCTGCATTTGTCCATGAGTTAGTGCTTTCCCTCCAAACCTGCACTGCGGGTCCCTTGGCATTGAGCATACCACCATTCCAGTACAAGTCAGCACCTCCACACATAGCTTATTCTTTATTTATAAACCTCAGACCCTTCTTAGGTGGCCGGCATTTTGTTGTGATGGAAGCCCTGATGAATGAAGTCTTGTGCCCGTGAACTTGCTCTAAAAAGTGCACATTAGTAGGGTTCTACCTAGATAGTGTGTAGATAAGGGAAGGTTCCATAGAAACTCAAGAAAAACACTCTCTTTCCTTTCCTGTTTGATTAATAAGGAACCCCCCAAAAGTACTTTTGTATAACCAAAATAGGTAAAACTTTGCCATAATCTTACTCTTTCAGGAAACACAAAACCCTTGCCCTAATTAAAGATGGCCGTGTTATTGGTGGTATCTGTTTCCGCATGTTCCCATCGCAAGGATTCACAGAGATTGTTTTCTGTGCTGTAACCTCAAATGAGCAAGTCAAGGTAAGGGGGACCCAAGGTGTTAGAAGAAAAGCAGAATATGGTGCTTCTCACTAAAGCTGCAGAGTTTAGGCAGGTCTGTCTGTCTGTGCCACGTCCATAGAAGGCTCGAAGTGGATTCAGGACTTCCTGAGAAGAGTTCTCTTGCTGCAAATGTCTGTGCATGTGTGTGAAGAGAGCAAATGTTCCACATCCCAGCAGGTCAGGTTCTACCAGGGCTTTGTTGGGACCTGGGGCAAGGTACAAGGACCCCACACAGCCCCAAGTGCAACTGAAGTATAGTGTATTGCAAGTGAGGGGAGGTTTGAAGATAAATCTCCCTGCTCGTTGTTAGCTTACACGTGCTCACACATGCACATACACAGCCGGTGACACTGAACCACCAGAAAGGATATGGTGAGATGTGGGTTATTACACTCAAGAAAGAAGTCTTATGGCTTTGTCCCTAAAGGTGGTCAAGGGCTAAAGAAATTCTGTAAAGGAAGTCATGGAAAATTTGAATAAATTTATGACTCAGTTTTAGAAGTATTCCTGCAGGGTTTGGAATGTGGGGTTTCTTTGGTGTGTGTGTGTGTCTAATTGACCCTCCCAAGTGTCCTTGTCACTGGTCCCTTATCCCCACGAGTTACGCTGTTTCACTGAAACTGCAGCTGGTGTTGTGTTGGAACTGGAATAAAGTGTAGACTGTCTGTCTGCAGAAAGACCTCTGATGTAGTGTCTGTTGTGTCCTGCTCTGCTGCTGCCCTTAGGAAAACAGAACCAGGAAAAGTGTCTTTAAACTATTATTCGTTTGGTATTTTAGGAACCCTAAAGAGGGTCATGCAGAACTAGGGCAAATGGTGGAAAGATAAGTAGCTCAGGGTTAGGCAGTTGCTGAGAAAAGTGACTGGAAAGTCTAAGGCACTGTTAACCTAATGAAATAAAATGCGACATGCAAATGTGAGCCATGCATGTAATTTTAAGTTTTCTAGTAACCACATTAAAAAAAAAAAAAAAGGGAAACAGACAAAGTTAATTTTGAAAACATATTTTATTTTACCCACCATACCCTGAGAGGTGTCCCTGCACCGGCAGGTACTCATGGCACAAAGAATTACTGATGAGACATTTTATATTGTTTTGTATTCAGTCCCCGAATGTAGGGTGTGTTTTACACTGCAGCACATCTCAGTCTGGACCAGCCATATTTCCGGTGCCCACTGGGCACATGTGACCAGCGCTCCTGTATTGGGCAGTGCAGGCCTAGGGACAAGGTTGTTTTCTCCAGCTGCAAAGAAGCAGTGCCATTTATAAAAACCGACAGGAAGTCACTGGAAGGAATCCTTCTCTGCTTGAGGGCTGAAGCCAGTGCTATGGGTACTTTTGTTTTCATTAAGAGCTTTGTTCCACCCAGCCTGTTAGAGCTGCTGTGATTTCTTCTCACAAAGCACAAGTGGGCCTTTTTGTCTTTGACTCAGAGTGCTAAGCATCAAAGGATAAACAAAACGCATCAGTCATACATCTGTCATTCTGACCGGGGAGGGTGAGGGCCCAGGTTTGCCTGAAACCTGTGTCTGGCGCTTTTGCAAGAAATTCTGACAGTGTGTCTTTAGATGGTGCTGTTGCTATGCTTATCACTTTAAGAAATTTTTTCCCTAGTCAAAGTGAGAAACAATTCAAGTATCCAGAGTTCAGAAACTTACTTAGAAGGAAAATTTGTTTGGCTTTTTTCATAGGGAAAGATTGCTGGCACATATGTCCTTGGTTTATAATTTCAGAAAAAGATTACAAAATTTTTGTTTTTAGAGAAAGCTACACCAACCAAGCACCTTGTTTGGAGAGGTTGATTAAGGTTGACTTGGACACTTTTAGGGATACCAGAGGGAAACTAAAGGTATTTAATATGAATTGGATGCTTTGTCTTATTACTTCCCAGAAGGGCAATTTATTTTTTTCCCAAACCATGTGATTTTCTAAAGACTTGCAGGAAGGTGTCCAAACATTACAAACTCAGTAGGAAGAACTAGAAAAAAAAGCCACGTTTTGTAAATGATTAGAAACTAGTTCTAGAAAATGAAGATTAGTCTCTTCTAGAAAATGAACGTTAATCTTTCACAATTGATTGGAATGGGTAAGTTATGAAAGGCAGTGCTGGTGGCACCTATTTGGAAAAATAACTCAAGTTTTGTAAGTGGAGGTTTTAAAGATTTTTATTTACTATGTTAAAAATCTTGGCTAAGTGATACTTTGAAATTTGTATTCACTCATTTTAGAGAAGCAGGCTTACATATAAATTCCTGTGAATGCTTTAAATAAGATTTGTATGTGAATTTATCTTGCTCAAAGCACACACAAGATGACATTTCCAAATTTGCGTGAAAAGCTCATCACCTGGTTTTAGAATTATCTTGTCATCTAAGAACTATTTGGATTTGAAATCGTGCAGATTTAAAGTTACATAGCTAATATTTATATATCATTTTTTTTTAAAGATTTTATTTATCTGAGAGACAGCATCAGCAGGGGGAGGAGGAGGGGCAGAGGGAGAGGGACAAACAGACTTCCCCACAGAGAGGGGAGTCCAACCTGAGCCGAAGTTAGACACTTAACTAAGACATCCAGGTGCCCCAATATCATAATAAATTTTTATTTAATTTTTTATTTTATTTAAATATTTAAATTATTTTATTTAAATATTTAAATAAACACAAATTGCTTGATGGATTTAGAAAAAAACTCCTTTGGTGGTAGTTAAAGGCCCACAAGGGGTGTCTGGGTAGCTCAGTCGTTTGAGGGTCTGACTCTTGACTTCAGATCTTAGGATCAGGAATTCAAGCCCCATGTTGGTCCATGCTCAGTTTGTAGCCTGTCATGGGGCTGGAGCTCACAACCATCAGATTATGACCTGAGCTAAAATCAAGAGTTGGACGCTTAGTGGACTGAGCCACCGAGGCACCCTGCCTTTTTCTGTATTATAGATACAAATGCATCACATTATATTAACACAATAGATATATGCGTTGGGTCTCAAATGCAAGCCACATATATAATTGTAAAATTTTCTAGAAGCCATAGTTTAAAAAGTAAGAAGAAACAGGTGAAATTAATTTTGATATATTTTTTTAAATTTTGATATTTTTTATTTAATTTAGTGTGTCTAAAATATTGTCATTTCAACATGTAATAAGGATAAAATGTTATTGAGGGTTTTTTTTTTTTTCCTCTTTTTCCTGATGTGTATTTTACACACTCTAGTACATCTCAGTTTAGGCTAGTCACATTTTAGTTGCTCAAAAACCACATGTACCATATTGAACAGCTCAGCTCTGTACTCTCACTACATATTTATGTATTTATCTTCCCCATTTTACCATCATCTCCTCAAGGAGGGAGACATTTCGTTCTTCTTTTTATTCAAGTTGTATTGAAATTTAAAATATATTAGTATTGTAAAATGTTTGGGAAAAGCTAAAATGTCCTTGGGTAACATCAGTGGAAGAATTTCTTGAGGAAAGTGGTAGTAATACTCTTCTCCTATTTACCAGGCAGATCATCCCCTAATTATTATGTTTGGTCCTTCTAGGCTTCCAAAGGGCAATGTTAAACAGGAGAAAGCCCAGAAAAGAGTGATTAGATTAGTAAGGGGTCTTCCAATCAATGCCTTTTAAGGAATGACGGAAACCTTGATGATACTTCACGTGGGGTTTGGGAGGTAGGGATGGGCATGAAAGAGTATGGTCTTTAAAGGCTTGAAGAGGGGCGCCTGGGTGGCTCAGTGGGTTAAGCCGCTGCCTTCGGCTCAGGTCATGATCTCAGAGTCCTGGGATCGAGCCCCGCATCGGGCTCTCTGCTCAGCAGGGAGACTGCTTCCTCCTCTCTCTCTGCCTGCCTCTCTGCCTGCTTGTGATCTCTCTCTGTCAAATAAATAAATAAAATCTTTAAAAAAAAAATAAAATAAAGGCTTGAAGAATTGTTAAGAGTAGGAATGAGTCTTTGTTCCTCTGAAAATAGAACTAAGGTCAAGAAGTAGATATAACAAGGGGTCAGATCTCAAATAAACGTTAGGAAGAACTCCCCAACTGAAGATTACCTGGTTTACCTAAGGACCAAGGGATGTCCCTGTGCTGGAGGTTTCTGACAGCTCACCTTTTCAGGGTAGATGGCAGAAGATTTCTAGCATCACATGGAATAGAGACTTAGACCAAATGATTTCTAAACATCCTTTTCCCCCTGTGGTATTGCGGTTCCATGAGATCATACCTGTAAGCACATTTGAGTCCTTTAGAAAAGTGTGTCACCAAATTCTAAAATATTTATGTGAAGGTATTTGTGTTGGGATGCTTGGATTTACTTTCACCTCTTTTAATGAGGTTCTAAAACAGCCACTTTATAGATATTTTCTAACCTTTGTACTTCACTGAAAAACCTGGTACTTGCATATTTTTTTTCATATTTTTCATATTTCTATCATTAATTTATTCAACATTGTTCACTGTCTTTAATTTACTTCCTTATGTCCTCTGGCTCACTTAGAGAGTCTGGATTTCGTAGACCTTGCTTGGAAAGGCTTGATAAGACAAACATGAAAATCCTGTGTATGGGATATGATACATTTCTTTGGAAGAGTTGCTGATTTGTATACATTCAGGAAACACTTGGGTTAGTTAATATTCTAGTAAAGATTAGCTTTTCATTTACATAGCTCTTTGCATCGCAGGTTCTCAAATACTTTAAAGATAAGCAGAAATCATAATCAGTGTTAACTCCGCAAGCTTCTTTGTTAACATTCAGCAAGTAGTCTTTAGGTTTGAGCCACAGCTTATAGCCTTGGTGTGTTACTTCCAAAGAACCAGAAACTTGTATTTAAACTGATGATTGTATCTCAGGTCAAGGATTTTGAATTTATTGGTTTTGTGGGTCGTTTTCAAAGTTCAGAAATGCAGGAAAGGGTGTGTTAGTATTATGTTGATAAAATATATCAAAGTACCAGTTCCTAAATTTGCCAGTGCTTCTGAGTGAATCTGTAGGAATGGGTTGTCTTTTTTCCAGAATCGAATATGTTTATGTGTTTACTAACTTCCACATAGGGCTATGGAACACACCTGATGAATCACTTGAAAGAATATCATATAAAACATGATATCCTGAACTTCCTCACATATGCAGATGAATATGCAATTGGTTACTTCAAGAAACAGGTAAGTTTTTCACTGTGCCACCCTGTTCTGTCATTTCTTTTCTTTTCTTTTTTTTTTTTTTTAAGATTTCATTTATTTATTTGACAGAGAGAGATCGCAGTAGGCAGAGAGGCAGGCAGAGAGAGAGGAGGAAGCAGGCTCCCCGTCAAGCACAGAGCTCGATGCAGAACTCGATCCCAGGACATGAGATCATGACCTGAGCCGAGGGCAGAGGCCTAACCCACTGAGCCACCCAGGTGGCTTGTCATTTCTTTTCTTAATATATACTCAGGTAGCCTTCATCTAAGGAAGTTTTTCCCCTAGCATTTTCTATTTATAAGAAGGACATGCAACTACTTGTTAATCCTTAAGCCAGGACTAAGCTTCAGATTTTAGTGGAGGTTATAACCAGCACAGTAAGTACGAGAGATTTGTTGAGTGAGTGAATGAATGCCATCTATAAATGAAGTATAATATTGCATCACGGATTCTAAAATATGGTATCCCCAGGCTAAGGAGAAATTCCCAAGGCTAGGTGAGTAGAGTTCTCCATGAATAAGAGAAATAGATTCAGTCTGTGGAAATCCTCCATTTATGTCAGCAGAAAGAAAGTTCTGAAAGTTCTTAGAGTTCTTTTTTGGCAGCACACAGTAGGCTAGGAGCTTGGCTGCCATCTTGGTCCTTTCTTACCAGAAGTTTTCAGCTCAACTTTTTAAAGATTATTCATTGGCTGCATATTTTTTTAAATAATGCTTTATAATTCCTAAACATTTTCATTTACTTTTCTAACTACAAAAGTAATGTAAAGTTACTGTAGAAGTTTGGGCATAGTAAAGTAGAATGAAGAAAAATCAATTGTAATTCTACCACCAAAGAGATTTGCTGTTACTATTTTGATAGGTTCCCTCCTAATAATTGTTCTGTGTATGTGTTAATGTGTATATATGTATATAAATATAAAACTGGGCTCCTATTATATGTAATTGAATTACTTGCCTTTTCACTTAATCTGATTATTAATATTTATATCATTTTTTAAAAAGATTTTATTTATTTGATGGAGAGAATGAGAGAGAGAGCATGAGGAGAGGGAGGGTCAGAGGGAGAAGCAGACTCCCTGCTGAGCAGGGAACCTGATGTGGGACTCCATCCCAGGACTCCAGGATCATGACCTGAGCTGAAGGCAGTCACTTAACCAACTGGGCCACTGAGGTGCCCCAATATTTATATAATTTTTGATGGTTCTCTGAAATTTTATGGTATAATTAGAAAATGCTTCATTAAACCAATACTACGTGTTTAGGACATTCAGGTGTTTGTTCTATGTAAATGTACATTTATAAGTGTGTGTTCATAGGTATGTTACCCTCATCTGTGGTAAGTTTGCTTAGAGTGAATGTCTAGAAGTAGAGTTGTTTCCAAATATATCTGAGGTTTTGTTATGCATTGCCAAATGCTGTAACAATTTCTGTTCTTGTCAGCAATATAGAAGGGGGTTCAGGAAAAAGTTTGATAATGTTTGAAATGTTTGAAAAACATTTTTTTTTGCTCCTTTCCTAGATAATAAATTACGTATGTTTATATTTTGTTTATATTTATTTAATTATTGTGAAGTTTGATGTGTTTTTTCTTATTCAGTGATCCTTTGTATTTGTATTTCTTTTTCTGTTTTTGAATTGCCGGTTAATTGTATTTTGCCTCTTTTTCTACTAAAATATTTATTTTCACATAGAGGACTCTTTGTATATGAGGATATTAACATCTTATTATTTTTCTCCCATTTGTCAGTTGTTTCAACATTGCTTGTGACTTTTGATATACAAATTCTTAAAGACTTCATTACATAAAATCTGTTGACTTCTTTATTTTATATAAGTCTCATGTAATTAGAGAGCTTTTCTTCCTCTGATGTCAGATAATCTCCTATTTGTTTTCTTCTCATTCTTTGGGTTGTGTCTGTGACTTTTATAATAAAACTCATTTGGGACAACTCAGTGGGGTTGTTAACTGAAGGCTTGAGTATCAGCTTTCTTAGGCTGCAACTGCATTGCAAAGCTTGAAATACCAGTCATGGTTCTTAAATGACTTGTCTGTAGTCCTCTATGAGGATGATGGTAATGATTGCTTGGAGAATAAATTTTGCTGAAAGGGAGGCAGTGTCTTTGTGATAGTCTGAATTCCAAGTAATTCACTGCAAAGAACTGAAATAGGCATTGTAAGGAAAATTATGTTTATGATATAAATATATGAATATATATCCTGTAGCACTTGGTTATTGCAGATTAAAGTATATAAATGAACATATTACAGATAAATGTCACTGACACAGCTACACATTACAATGGTCTGGAAGTTTTCGCCTATATAGTAGGGGTTTCATTTCATCAACATTAAAGTTCTAATTATTGTATATGTATATTTTAAAGATTTTATTTTGGGGGCACCTGGGTGGCTCAGTCGGTTAAGCCTCTGCCTTCAGCTCAGGTCATGATCTCATGGTCTTGGGTTCATACCCTGGTCAGACTCCCTGCTCAGCAGGAGTCTGCTTCTCCCTCTCCCTCTGCCCCTCCTCACTCCCCACTTGTGCTCTCTTTCTCTCTCAAATAAATAAATAAAATCTAAAAAAAAAAAAGAAAGAAAGGAAAAAGGAAAAGGGTAATAAGTAATTAAGTAATGACTGTACCCAATGTGGAGCTCCACAACCCCAAGATCAAGAGTCTCATGGTCCAGGGTGCCTGGGCGGCACACTTGGTTTCAGTCCAGGATATGATCTCAGGGCTGTGAGATCGAGCTCTGCATGCAGTTGTGCACTCAGCATGGAGTCTGCCTCGGTTTCTCTCTCCCTCTGCCTCTGCTCTCCCTACCCCTCAGATAAATAAAATCTTAAAAAGAAAAAATCACATGCTCTACTGACTGACCCAGGCAGGTACCCCTAATTACTGTATTTTTTGATAAGCTTTTCTTTTAGAACTTAGATTGGTTTTTGATTTGTTGAGAATCCTGGGGTCCCCTCCCCAATTTGGGAGAATTTCAATTTAATGGAATTGAAGAGGAATTGGGAGAATGTTTAATTTAATGGAAAATTCAACATTAATATTAGGTCTGTTAAAAAACCATTTAGTATAATTTGTGTTTTACTAGGATTATTTTTTTTTATGTTGTCTTGCTTCCTATTTGGAATTTGATTTTTGATGTTTTTGAACTCCACAGTGGGGATGCTAGTCCTTTCCAGAGTAATAGGATGAGAACTTGAAAGAAGTGTATCTTGCTGCCTACCATACGGTTTGCATTCAGTGGATATTTGTTGCACAGTGGCTGTATGAATGAATTTATTTGCATTGCAGGGTTTCTCCAAAGAAATTAAAATACCTAAAACCAAATATGTTGGCTACATCAAGGATTATGAGGGGGCCACTTTAATGGGATGTGAGCTAAATCCACGGATCCCATACACAGAATTTTCTGTCATCATTAAGAAGCAAAAGGAGGTAAGCACGGGACCGCCTCCTGTTCCTTCTCTACAGGGTGGTCTTTGTTGGGTGAGTTGTGTGTCTCTGGGCTCTGTGTGGATGGCTCTATGGTGTGTCATCATGATTTTGGTTTGCTGTAGTTTGTACATATTTCTTCTTTGATGGGACACTTGATCTGTTTCCTTTCTAGGCACCATTCCTAAGAGGGTCAACACTTGTTAAATTGGTATAAAATATAAAACTTGTAAAATATGATGACATCTTACCTTCGCCTTCAAGGCCTTTACATTTAGCCTCATGCATCCTTCCCAGACTTCTTCACTTATCTAAACTCTTCTCGAAAAGCCATTACTGATGCTTTAAGCCTCTAGCTTGGTGTCTTTATCCATTTCCTACCTCACTCTCCCAACACACGTACGAATAGGACCACTTTGGCCTGTGTTCAGTTTCTTCTTTGAACTTCACTACCACTAGTTTGATCCGCTTATTTGAATTTTTGTTACTCATCATCTTACATGGGCATTTATCTTAGCATGTATTCATCTCTCTTTTTAACATTGGGAATTTCGAAGGCCTGTATTTGTAGGAATTCAGTGATTTGCTATCCCATTTTGGGGTGAAGTCTTTTATACATAAGAACTAAAAGAGAAACAGAGGAAAGGTTGAGAGATTTGACTATGTAGTAGTTTTACATTTGTCCAAGACAGAAGAAAATACCATAAAAAGAGCATAATTGGGGAGTGTGCATTTATTAAATGAACGAATTTTGTGTTAAGCCCAGGATCACCTCCTCGCTCCCCCTAGTTCATTGACGTTCAAAAATGGGCTTTGTGGGGCACCTGGGTGGCTCAGTGGGTTAAAGCCTCTGCCTTCGGCTCAGGTCATGATCCCAGAGTCCTGGGATCGAGCCCCACATCGGGCTCTCTGCTCGGTGGGGAGCCTGCTTCCTCCTCTCTCTCTGTCTGCCTCTCTGTCTACTTATGATCTCTGTCAAATAAATAAATAAAAATAAAATTTAAAAAAAAAAAGGGCTTTGTGGCTATGTCATCCCTCATCATTTCCACTTTATACTCCGGTTACTCATTTTAGTGCATTCTTTTTCTAGCAAGTAACTAGAAAAAGCATCTGTCTTAATTCCCATCTTTGTTTTCTGGTTTCTACTAATTTCCCTTAATCCCAGTTCTTGGTTGTTTGTCAGATATCATCAACATAACAGACATAAAAGTCCTTATGCAGTGTTTGGTGCATAGTAGGTGCTCAAGAAATATTTTCCTTTTTACTTAATGTGGGTCAGGTTTGTTCTTATGAATGTGAGCAAAAGGCGCTTTTTTTAGGCTTTTTTTTTTAAAGAAAATAAAAACAACCTTTGTTGTTTCTTGCTCAGAGATGCCAGCCTTAGAGTAAATTCCAAATAGGGTACTTGGAGAGTTAATAAAAGCACAGCAGGCCCCTCTCTCTGTTTCTTTCTAAAGAACTAGCTTTCTTCATTGTTCTCTTTGGGGTTTAATGAGCAGGTCTGTATTCAGCAGCTCCCCATTCAGCATGAGGGACTGCTGGCCAACTAGAGCCATCACCAGGCAGTCAGCTGCTGGGCCCTCCTTCCTCCTCTGAGGAGCATCCATGCATCTCTGGTGAAAGAAGAGAGCAGGAGTCTCCTTCAGATTCACCTAGTCTGGATCTTTTGGCTCTTAGTGCATACAGGGGAAAGCCATGAACACAGAGCTAACAAGAGCATTCAGTCCTTTAGAAGACAGGGCTCCTTCCCCTTCCTTTTGCTCCTCCCCTCTTGTATCTCATCTCCCTCTCACCTCCCCTTCCCTGTTTGCCTCCAGCCTTCTCTAACACATGCCACTGAGTGGATGATGCAGCTATGAACCTAGTTTCTTTCAAAGAGACTTGAAGTCACCATAATAAAATACTGGATTTCATGTAGTGTCTTCTTCCACAGAACTTGAATGATTTTCACAAGTATCTTTATTTCAACTTGTGAAACCCTCCCCCTTGCAGAAGACAGGGACTGATGGTAGTAGCAGACAAGTTGTAAGTAGATGGAGGGCTTTGCTGGCCCCTGAAAGCATGCATGAGCAGAATAAGTTGTGGTTGTGTCGAGTGGAGATGGAGAGGGAAAGCTAGTGCAGTGGGACAGGGGAGCAGAGTAGGAGTTGAGGGCTACTTTGTGAGTGTTGACTCCAAGGGCAAGAGGAAGGTGCGGTCCTTCAGGGGCCTAATATCATCGGAGGTGTCTTTGTCGGAAATATGTTTTGAACTGTTTTGAGTCTGCTGAATCCCATCAGCATGAGCAAAGATTCAGAGTCCAGCGTAAGTAGATTCATGGGCACATGCGCAGCTAGGACCCTAGGTGTGCCCGTGATAACAGCCACTGTTTGAGAAAGTATAAATAGGTCATGAGAAGGCAAAGTTGAGTGTATATATGCATGTGTTTGGGGGGCGTGGAGCTGGGATGTAGGGATACATCTCAAATCTTCATCCGAGTGTAAGGTGACAAGGGACTGGGTTTGGAGGATCCAAAGTAAGGGTGACGCCAACCAGTGGGATTTCTTTGTAAGAACACGTGCTAAGACTTGGTGACATATTAAAGATGGAAGAGCTCCCCCAAATCTTGTGTTTGGGGAGACTAAAGCTGAAGGGATGAAATGGGAGAAGAATTTGAGGAAAGAATGATGATGACATGGTGAAGAAGTGGAAACATTTTCGAGGAAGGTGAAGATAAAAGACTGAAACAAGTAAAGTGTCTCCTTTCTCCAGAGCAACCCTTGGAGGCACAGAGGGGTTAAGAAGCCCTCCAGTGTTGTTATGAGTCACTCACTAGGACTCCGCCCCCTTCAGGGTGCTACACAAGGGCTATGGAAGCCACCTGGGTGGGTTATCACATCTGAGAGTATCCGTGATAAAGAGAAAAAGTTTTAAAATTATATTTGAAATTATATTTTCTGAAGGTGTTTGTTTAAGAGATTACAATTGGCATTCTCCTTTAAAAAGACTTAGACTGGGGTGGGGTCCCTGGCTCTCTCTGTCAGAGAGCATCTGACTCTTGATCTTGGAGTTGTGAGTTTGAGCCCCAAGTTGGGTGTAGAGATTACTTAGATAAATTTAAAAACTTAAAAAATAATAATAAGGCTTACACTCAGGGCACCTAGCTGGCTCAGTCAGAAGAGCATGTGACCTTGATCTTGGGGTTGTAAATTTGAGCCCCATGTTGGCTATAGAGATTACTTTAAAATCTTTTTCTTTTTTTTAATTTATTTATTTTAGAGACGGAGAGCATGCAGGTGTGGGGAGGGAGGGGCAGAGTTAGAGAAACTCAGACACTCCTCACTGAGCCAGATGCCTAATGGGGCTGGATCCCACAACCCTGAGTTCACTATGTGAGCTGAAATCAGTAGGGGGACACTTAACCAACTGAGCCACCCAGGTGCCCCCAAAAATAAAATCTTTTTTTTTTTTTTTTTTTTTTAGTTTTTTATTTATTTGACAGACAGAGATCACAAGTAGGCAGAGAGGCAGGCCGGGGGGCCGGAGGGAAGCAGGCTCCCTGCTGAGCAGAGAGCCTGATGTGGGACTCCATCCCAGGACCCTGAGATCATGACCTGAGCCGAGGGCAGAGGCTTAACCCACTGAGCCACCCAGGCGCCCAAAAATAGAATCTTAAAAAAATAAATAAAAAAACTTGAACTCGTAAATAAACAAAGGGAGAGCATGCATCTAGATCTATCCTATCCAGAGTGGCAGCCACTAGGTGCATTTGGCTCCTGAGTGTTTGATACATGGCTAGTTGAAATTGAGATGCTCTGTAAGTATAAAATACACTCTGATTTTGAAGACCTGTTAAGAATAAAAGAATGTAAATGTAAAATATCTCATACTTTTTTTTTAACTGATTATATGCTGCAGTGATAATATTTTGGATGTATTAGATTAAATAAAAACATAAAAAATGTATTGTTAAAGTACAGTTTCTCCTGTTACTTTTTACTTTAAAAAATGTGGCTACTGGAACATGAGTGGATGGGGAGGGTGGGTGCCTTTGGGGCTCAGTTGGTTAAGCCTCTGCCTTCAGTTCAGGTCATGATCTCAGGGTCCTGGGATTGAGTCCCCAGTCTGGGCTTCCTGTTCCGATGGGAGCCTGCTTCTCCCTCTGCCACTCCACTGCTCCTGTCCTCTCTCTCTGAAATGACTAAAACCTTACCAAAAACTCACATGAGCTGATTGCATGATATTTCTGTTGCACAGCAGTGAACTAGGTTTACCAGACATACACTTTTACTAGTCGCAGTCACCTTATGAAGTTCTTTGTTTAATTGTCAGGATTAAAATGCATTCATGCTGGAGCATTTACCAATGATACGTTTGAGATCAAGCTGTTAGGAACTGGAATTTTTAGTTTACCTTTGTGAATTCAATTACTGACTGCTACTGTGTTTTTCTTTCTCAAATTATTATTTAAATTCTAGTGAGTTAACTTACAGTGTAATATAGAATTTAGTGATTAATCACTTATATATAACACCCAAAGCTCATCATAGGCGCCCTTCTTAATGCCCATCACCCTCTAGCCCATCCCCCACTGCCCTCGTCAACCCTCAGTCTCTTATGGTTTGCTCCCCCCCCATCCTTTTTTCCCTTTCTCTCATTTTTTCTTTTCCAAAATCAGTTACGACATAGTTAATTTCTGGATAGCTATTTTTAATTAATTTTTCTTTTTTAAACGGGAAACTGGCACTGTTTTGGAAATAGTTGACCTCAGTACTTCAGGAACTATTTTACAAAACAAACTTCTCTCAAAATTCCCATTCATCATTCATCCTGGCTGCTCACACCAGGGGGTGTGTTGCCTCAACAGTTTGGAGCCGCTTTTCTGATGCAAAGAGTATAGATTAGGGCTCAAGCCTTGAAAATTTTGAATAATAATGTCAACCTACCTGGCACTGGGGACTTTTTGAGGCCTGTTCAAGTGCCCTTCAGTCCAGGAAAGGGAACACTTAGCTCCTAGTTGGGGGATGTGAAGAGGTCCAGGCCTGGGGCTTGGGCTGGGTAGCTGATCAGCTCCGGCAGAGGCTCCTCAGAGAAGAAGGGCAGGACACCTGGCTTCTGTGCCAAAGAGGATGGCGGGCCTCCAGGGCAGTGTGTTCTCTCACTGTTGGCTTTTTTGATGGCAAGGGACAAGTATTCAAAAATGGTTGTGTGAGGGGCACCTGGGTGGCTCAGTGGGTTAAGCCGATGCCTTTGACTCAGGTCATGATCCCAGGGTACTGGGATCGAGCCTCACGTCGGGCTCTCTGCTTCTCCCTCTCTCTCTCTGCCTGCCTTTCTGCCTACTTGTGATCTCTCTCTGTCAAATAAATAAATAAAATCTTTAAAAAAACCACAAAAAACAGTTGTGTGAATGCCGCTGGAGGGGTATGGTATAATAGTACATTTTCAGGTCTTCCCTGTTCAATTGCATTCACCCTCTCTCCCTTTTCACGTCCCGAAGACTTTATTTAGGAGACCGACTTTTTAGGTTGACTGATGTCATCTGTAGCCAACAGACTTCTGTCACTAAACGCATTTTCTTCCTGTGCCTTACAGATCATTAAAAAGCTGATAGAAAGAAAACAAGCCCAGATTCGAAAAGTATACCCTGGACTTTCATGTTTTAAAGATGGAGTTCGGCAGATTCCAATAGAAAGCATTCCCGGAATTAGTATGTATAGATCTTCTTTTAACAGCAAAATCTTTCGGGTTTGCCATGCACTGTGTTTAAAATGGTTGCCAGAGTGCAGTGATTTGGAAAGCTTTTTGCCTTGCCTGTCTCCATTCGTGGGGTTTGTAGTCTTAAGGGGGCAAATGCTTTTCCTTTGTCTTTTCTCTACTGAGTGCAAACAAATTAAGGAGGACTTAGATGACTCCTTCTAATAGCTGTTCATATCCATCATTTACTGAAAGATGGCTGTGGATAGCATGGGGGAATTCTACTTTTATGAATGGGGGAATTGAGTCTCAGAATGGTGAAGTCCTTTGATCGCAAATAGCACGTGGCCAGTAACCGTCAGAATTAGCAGCAGTGGGATGCCGGTCTGCGGATTTGTTGCTGTGTGCACCCTTGCTCCTGCTCTCATGACTGCAGCCTGCCCAGGTGTGTGCTGGGCCAAAATTGTCTCCAAATTTCGAGAAAAGATGATTGGGAAACATATAATTTGTTTCAAGTTCCCTGTTTTAGAGTAGTTTTCCCAAGGGTTCTTATCTGTGCGCGTTAGAGATGAATTGTCGTGGGTGAAAACTTGCAAAATAGCTGTTTTTGTAGATTGAAAGCTATCGAATAGCCACACTTTCAATGAGTTCAAATCCAGGATCTTGTAGCATATTGAAGATTCAATACACAGCACAAAATCAAACAAACCACAGCTCTCCAGAAAAAAGTAAGACCTTATTCCGGCAAGATACATCCCTTCAATACAATAGCTACCCTATAGCAGATCTGACTTTTACTTCTAGACCTAGAAATTTCACTTCCCTACATTACCCCTGCTAATGCATCATAGATAATCACATTGCTGAATGCCCTCTTGCGCCGGCATTCTTCTGTTTTTGGTTTTTTTTTTGTTTTTGTTTTTGTTTTTACATACATCAGCTAATCTCAGAAGGGATAATATCACCTAATTTTTAGAGTTCTGTTTTATAGATTGATAAATTACAGAGGCAAAAGGTTAAGTAACTTATCTCGGATAAGTTAGCTTTTAAGGAGAGAGCAAGAAATCAAATCCTTGAAGCTGTAGTTTCTTTCTGCTGCACTAAACCATCTTGTATTACAAGCAGGGTTTTTGCCAAATAAAAGAGAGGCCAGGATAAGGTTTGTTCTAACCTAAAATAACAGCTTAACTCTTTTACGTGGTGATTAGCAAAATATGTGATTTAGAGTTTAAAATATACACGTGCCCCAAATACTGGACATACTTATTTTTTATATTTTCCTCTGAAAAGTTGGGAGTTCCTTCTTTAAAAAACACCAACAGAAAGAGGTGTTGGCTATCTCGGAAATGTTTCATGCTGTTAGCTGTAGAAGGAAGTAATTAATTGCAGTTGATTTCTGTCTTCCCAGAGGTAGACTTTTATTGAGGCATGCTTGTAATTTATTTCATTTTTGTTAAGTATTACTTTTGTTACTCTCTTGACCAAAAGCAGTTCTCATTCAGTGTTTAATTTTGTTGACATATAGGAGAGACAGGCTGGAAGCCGAGTGGAAAAGAGAAAAGGTAAGTAGGATGGGTGAGAGGATATTAATGGAAGTGATTTTTCTCTCCTTCCAGAAACTTAGAGGAAGCAGGCAAACTACTTATAATCACCCATTACAGCACTTGCTGCTTTTCAGTTTTCATAAACAATTCTGGGATGGCTCCCATTTTAGGTTTTGGTCAAAATAAGCAGAATAGGAATCCCCTGGCAAGGGGGCAAAAAACTAATCATGGTTCTTGCTGTTTACTCTTTTCCTTTCAAGTAAAGAGCCCAAAGACCCTGACCAGCTTTACAGCACGCTCAAGAGCATCCTGCAGCAGGTGAAGGTGAGTGTTGTCTTTTCATTCACCTCATGCAGATATTTTGAAATGATTTCCCACATGGAATTTCCATATTAGATACCTTACTTTTTTCTTTACTCAAGAGCCATCAAAGCGCTTGGCCCTTCATGGAACCTGTGAAGAGAACAGAAGCTCCGGGATATTATGAAGTTATAAGGTTCCCCATGGGTAATGCCATTAACATTTTCTAAGTATAGATTTAACTCTCTCTGGATGGCGGTGTGGGGGACACGTGGTTGCTGAGCTTGATTTGTACTCTTCTGTTGTAGGGTAGGGTGTATGTGATGGGCGGTGGGGTTCCCTGCATCTGGGCCACTGATACAGAGTAGAGTGATAAAAGACAGGTGGGTGGCCCAGTCTCGTTAGACATGCCCGCAGCTTTTACAGCCACCTGCCGCCGGCACTGGATGCAGAGAACCCAGGTGGGGAGCTGCACCCAGCCCTAGATGCGAAAGCTGGCTGTTGGGACATAACCTGGTTTACATTCTACCCATTTGGTTGCACATGGAGAACTTCAGGCTCTCCTCTTGATATATTTTGAGGCTTTTGATAATTTTTGAAAGCGATGCAAAATAAGTTGGAGTAGGGCTGCTTGCCTGCTACACTAGCAGAGGGAGAAATCCTAGTAACTCAGTTCTCGATTTTCTACGCTCTTGATGGATACTATTAGTGTCACTATTTATATTCCCGTTAAAAGCTTTGTTCCACATCCAATGCCAGACAAACACAAAATGATTTAGAAATGTAGAATTGTGGAATTTGCTGCTGTGCCTGCACCATGCTAAAATGATTAATTGAGCCAATTGAGAATCCAATTAAGCTAATTTGGCATTGTGTAGATGACAGACGACTAGCTGAACTGTTTTCAGTCAGTTGTGTGGCCATTGTTTCGGAGACAGCCTGTGTCTTCTGTCCCTTTTCTACCTGCAAACTGTTCCTGGTACTAAGACGTTATTAAAATATGAAAGGAAGAATGAAAGGGCTCTATTAGCTCCCTGATAAAAGAGTTATTTGTAGGTGTTTTCTGTAGCATTAATTTTCACATGAATTTTCAATATAGTCATTGTAATGATTTTGGTAGTCTGTCCTCCTTAATGTGTACCTACATGCATATGCTTTTCTTTCTCTTTTCTCTCTGCCTTGCTTCTCTGTATCTTAGTTATGAAAACTGAAGTGTAAGGGTTGAGTGAGTCTAGAATTCTGAATGGAATTCAAAGTGTTTGGGGAATCAGTATCTTCTTTTCTTTTTATTCTTTTTTAAAGGTCTTATTTTTAAGTAATCTCCTTACTCAACATGTGGCTAAGACTCACAGCCCTGAGATCAAGGGTCCCATGCCCCATTGCCTGAACTGGTCACATGCCCCTCAGTGTTTTCCATCCTGTAAAAAATATGTTAAAATCCTTTATTTTTTTTTTTTAAAGATTTTATTTATTTATTTGACAGAGACACAGTGAGAGAGGAAACACAAGCAGAGGGAGTGGGAGAGGGAGAAGCAGGCTTCCTGCTGAGCAGGGAGCCTGATGTGGGCCTCGATCCCAGGACCCTGGGATCATGACCTGAGCCGAAGGCAGACGCCTAACGACTGAGCCACCTAGGCTCCCTGTTAAAATCCTTTATGCCCATTTCCAAATTTAACTGACCTTTGCATCCTCATCGCCTGGACCATCTCAACTCCCTTCATGAAACACTCATAGGAGGTTGTATAAGGTTGGGGGAGAATAATTATCTTTCAGCCCTGCTCATGTACTCTCTGAAGACCTGCAGTGGTAGGTCTAGAAGGTCCCCTCTGTCACCTCTGGAAATGTTTTGCTTGGTCCAGCCCGAGAAGGGTGTGAGCCTCTCCAGTTGGCTACCACCTGTGTGCATAGCTGACTGCTCATGAGCGGAATATTGGCCCTGTTGAGCAAGCCCAATGGTAGACTGAGGTGTGTTCTAGACAAAGTTACAACAGTAAGTGGTGCTTTTTAGGGGAGCAGTAATATTTTTCTTAGGGTGCCTTTAGGTGCTGAGTGAAAGGTATAGTCTTGTCCTTAAGATGGTCATGCTTTTGGGGCAAGACTGACAAATCTGTAATTTTACTTTCCCCCATTATTGCCTTCTCAGCTTTTTCTAAAAACATTTCTTCTCTTTCCTTTGTGCTCTCAGAAACGCTTTTTCTTCCATATGAATGAGGTCCAGCCTGTATCATTTAGAGAATCTCATTCAGAACATCGTCTAAGTAGTCTGGCCCAAGCATGTCTTCTTACCATTCGTGGATTGCTGGGCAGGGTTTTCCTATTTACTCAGAACTCCGCAGTTGGTGGGAGGGATGAAAATGGAATAATTTAATGATTTTTCCATATGTGATATCACTGATACTTAATCACCTTCTTTAACATGCCATTTGGTCAGTAAGCTTCTAGTAAGGCTAGAGGAAGAACAATGTTATTTACTTATTTAAAGATTGTATTTATTTATTTGACAGAGAGAGCACAAGCAGGGGGAGTGGCAGGGAGAGGGAGAAGCAGGCTCCCTGCTGAGCAGGGAGCCTATACAGGGTTCAATCTCAGGACTTTGGGATCATGACCCGAGCCAAAGGTAGACACTTAACCGACTGAGCCACCCAGGCACCTGAAAGATGTTATTTATAACTTAAGAATAGAATAGAAATATAGAAAGGAAATAACACAGAATGATTTTAATTATTCTGAAAGATCCAGATACTTTTATGGCTCTCATTTTGTTTCTGCTGTAGCTTAGGCTCTCTCCATCTCTTCTTACCACCTTTCTTCCAAATAATAGTTTGAAATCTTTTGGATAAACTTCTTTGTGCCATGTTTCATTCCCCCCACCCCCTTTTAGTTATACAACTCTTCTTCTAAAACATAAACACTGTATTGAGCAGCATATCTTAAGTGGTAGGCATTAGGTGGTAAGGTAGATATCCAACTCTACCTAGAGAGGCACAGTTAATTTTATTGCTCTTCTTTCATTTACTGAGAGGACATCTTCATCTGCTCAGTCACACTTGGGTGAGACATCTAGTGGGGTATTTGCTGAGCCTTTATAAAGTATCTTAATATTTGCCAATTTTTCTCTCCTTCTGAACTGTTTTAGTTAGAGAAGAAAGAAAATTGAAAGTTGAACTCTCAGATACGATGACATATCACTAACCAAGAGAAGCTTTAGTCAAAGGAAATAGGCAAAAGTACCTATTTCACATTTTTTTCTTTGGTGTTTTGTGGTAGATTTAAGATTTTGACACAAGTGAATTCTCCCCATTTTTGGATGTTGCACATAAATTTATATATCTCACTAGCTGATGATCCCAGTGTATTCAGTTATAAGTTTCTTTCCTTCTGGAAAATGTGATAATATAGTGGGAATTTGGGCATTGGTAGAGCTATTTTATTTTTTAAACAATTTTGACTTTTCCATGTACAGTTAATATAATTTTTAATGACAGAACCAGACTTAAAGACAACTAGGGTACCTATAAGTAGACAAATGTTAGCATCTTCTTTTTTAATTTTTTTTGTATAAGATTTTCTTTTCTTTATTTTATTTTATTTTTTTTTTTAAGATTTATTGATTTATTTGAGAGAGAGAGAGAGAGAGTGAACGACATGCTAGCCAGGGGAGGAGCAAGAGGAGCACAGAGAAAGGGAGAAGGAGAGAAATAGACTCCCCACTGAGCGTGAAGCCTGCTGTGGGGCTCTATCCCAGGACTCTGTGGTGATGACCTGAGCCAAAACCAAGAGGCCGCTGCTTAACCAACTGAGCCACCTAGGTGCCCCTATTTATTTGAGAGAGAAATAGGTGCCCCTATTTATAGAGAGAGGGAGAGTACATACCTGTGGGGGAGGGACACCGGGAAAGGGAGAGAGAATCTCAGGCAGGCTCCATGCTCAGGGGAGAGCCTGACACAGGACTCAGTTCCCACGACCCTGAGATCTTGACCTGAACTGGAATCAGAAGTCAGGCACCTAACCGGCTGAGCCACCCAGGCATACAGAAATGTTAACGTCTTCTAATCTGCATGGAATTTTGTAAATCAGTTCTAAGAGTGAGGAGTAAACACGCCCCATGGTATTCTTACAAGTTCATTTTTTAAAATTATTTATTTATGTATTTTAAAAGGATTTTATTATGTATTTGACACACAGAAAGAGAGTGGTCACAAGCAGGGGGAGTGGCAGGGGGAAAGGGAGAAGCAGGCTCCCTGCTCAGCAGGGAACCTGATGCAGGGCTCCATCCAGTACCCTGAGATGGTGACTCGAGCCAAAGCAGACGCCCAACTGATGGAGCCACCCAGGGCCCCTATTCTTATAAGTTTAAATAAAGTACTATTTTCATTTGTAAAATAATATAATTTAAAGCAAGTGAATATATTAGGAAAATATTATTTTTACAATAATTTTTCAAAGCTTACTTGCTTTAGAAAAGAAATTACTATTTGTGTTCTGTTTTGTTTTGTTTTTTTTTACTGCCTGTGATTCATATTTCATGGATGGAACATGAAACTAAATTCATTTGAACCATTTTATGTGCAAGGATACTGGCGTATCTGTAGATTTGTTTATGATCAGTTTTTCTACTTTAGTTCTGTTTCTGCAGCTCCAAAACAACTGTGAATGTAATGAAACAAACTCAGTCTTATTGATTGGATTTAAGTAATGAAGTGATTCAGACAAACGTTCCACCTGCTCTACTCCGGGTAGAGAGAGCCTCTCCTGTTTAATTCTGGGTGAATAACTAACAGTACTTAGTTTATCGTACTTATCACTGCTAATCTACTTAGCTTCCTTGTGCTGAATCGGGGATTGGGCCAAATGACTAATAATGATCCTTTCAACGCAAAAATGCTGGGATTTTACACAAGAAGCTCTCACAACAGAAACAACATAAAATTTAAGAACTGTTTGCCGTGATCATAAGAATGTCTCTTAAGGGCTTGGGATGGTAAAAATGTAGCCACGCTGATGACATAGATTTCTCTCCCTGTCCCCTTCTTTGTCAGCTACTGTTTAAAAGGAGTCAAAGATTGCTAATATTTTTTTTTCCTGTGCAGATCTGAAAACCATGAGCGAACGCCTCAAGAATAGGTACTACGTGTCTAAGAAATTATTCATGGCAGACTTACAGCGAGTCTTTACCAATTGCAAAGAGTACAACCCCCCTGAGAGTGAATACTACAAATGTGCCAATATCCTGGAGAAATTCTTCTTCAGTAAAATTAAGGAAGCTGGATTAATTGACAAGTGATTTTTACCCCCTTCTGCTTCTTAGAAACTCATCAAGCAGTGTGCCTAAAGCAAGGTGGTTTAGTTTTATAAAGAATTGGACATAATGTTTTGAAGATACTTACTTGTAAATGTAATAATTAGCACTTTTGAAAAACAAACAAAACCTCCTTTTAGCTTTTTCAGATATGTATTTAAATTGAAGTCATAGAACATTTTTATTTTATGGAATAGATTTTAAGCTATTTACTACTATTGTAAATTTTCTATGGCATGTCCATTAGCTGAATATTCAATAATAGATGATCAGGGGTTTCCTCAAAACCTGTGTATGAGGAAATTGCACATAGTACCAAGATTTGGGGGAATGCAGAAACTTTTCAGACCATGAATGTTTCCATTTTTTTCTAATGGAATGTGAGAGTTTATTTTTATTTTATTCTGAAGGACTTTAAGGAAGGGATACATGATAAAAAGCCCGTAAAAGGTGAAATATGTGATGTTTAAAGTCTCACTGTAGACTTTTTATATATATTTTTTAAAAAAACACTCATCTAGATGAGGTGCTTTGAGCAGTTCTGAAAAATGCAGTTCCAGAAAAGCAACTGCTTTGATTCCTAAGGAAGAAATTCTAAATAATGCACACTTTTTTATAAGCATCTGGATTTTTGATAATTCTATCTACCTACAATAAACTCATGAGCACATAACCACTATTTTAATAATTATTTTCTCTACACAGATGTGGACTATTATATTTGACTTCGCTTATGCAGGCCATAAGTTCCAAAAGGCAATCTGATGCACAGAGGCATACATTTAAAAACACTTTGAGATTGAATCAATGTGCTTTAATAAGGAACGATGCATCATCTACATACGTATCAAATTTGGTGAATCCTTGTTCTAACAAATAAGGATTTTTTTCCCTTTTCTATGATGTTTGCAACCCCACTGATAATGTATTATATGAACATTTTTCCTTTTGCATCTCCAGATTATATTCATTGTCTGAGGTGAATTAAATCACCAAGATTTGCTGTCAGTATTTTAACACCTACATTGGAAGACAGACCCAGGGTAGTTTCCCACTAAAATCCATCATACAACCTTATTAACCTGTCTTGGGATTCCAGCTTAGTGCTTGGAAATATTTCCTGATTAACACTACATAGAAAAGTGGGACATCTGCCATCCCAACTCTGGGAGAACCAACTAATATCAAACAAATGAAGGCCATTTTGATGGTCTTTGACACTAATTTTTATGATAAAAATTTATAAACTGATTTTTGTAAAGAACTAGGTTTTAAAAGTATATTTAACTTGATGTTTTCTATCAGCATAAATGAGTTAAAATGATCATGTAATAGTTGTCAAAAACAGTTGCCAGAGATAATCTGCATGAAGGAAAAAAACCTGCAAATGGCTGTTTGCCAGTGGGAAGTATGGTTTTTAATATGTAAGAGATATTCAGAATGCTCACACCGAAAAATGCCTCAACTTTTATAAGCATAAGAAACCACCTTGAGTGGCATCTAGATTTCTAGTGAAGAATGATGATACAGTTTGGATTAAGTATCTTGGACTGGTTTTAAACAGTGCTTTGTCCTGAATCTGCCAAAGCATCTGTCCAGCTTGGTATCCTGTGAAAGTTGTTATTTTCTGGGTAGACATTGTTATAGAGTATTGTCTTTAAAATCAGATTGTCTCTTCTATATTGAAAACATTTTTATGTTTTCTAATTTAAAAATTAATATTTTCTTATAGATATTGTGCAATAAAGCTGAAGTAGGATGTGTGGTTTTTGCAAATGCTTTAACAGCGGATAAAATTTTACATTTGTAAAATTAATATATTGTACTGGTACAACATAGTTTTAAATTATATTTTAAAAAGCTCTCAATTTGGTGTTGTGTTTTCTTCTTCTAGCCTATTAAGTTTAACAGGGCAAGTGTTTGGTTGTTGACCATTGACTATATCCATAATTCTTAGATTTTAGGCATTTTGTTGAAGATGGTTAGCACTGTGGCATTTGTTGGAAGTTTCATAAAAATTCACAGCCCACCAGTGAGGGAATTTCAAGAGGAGAGACGCTCGAGTGTGTGTGTTTTTTGAGTGGTCCACTGCATCTTGCCCACTGTCACTCATTAAACAAAGAAAAAAAAAGTCTTACAGAAAGAAGAGTGTTACTCTTTTAGAAATTAGATGTTTTTTCCCCAGTTTTTCTACTCTGCATCGATGAAATAGATGAAGAGACAGATAAAAATACAGCTTCTTACAGATTCTTAACACATCTCCTCCTGAGCTTCTCATGTTCCTCAGAATGGTGACTGCAGGAAAGAATACTGTGTCCTCTCTGGGGTATGAGAGAACCCACCAAAGAATACTTTTTCTTTCTGAATACTGAACCAACTGAGAAGTCAAAAGAATAAGGCACTTGATGGCCAGAATATCTTTATTAGTAATAAAATGGGTATTGGAGAATGTGGCTTGTATATCTCTGGAACATGGGCTAATACTGAACAACATGACTGGCTTGCCAGCAGCTTGGCACCACTGCCAGCTTCCCCTCCAAGGGCAGGGCCTTTACCACTGAGCTCAGGGCATGGCCAACAGCAGTGCTGCTCTCTGGAGGCAGGCCAGCTCTGAAGAGGTCTAGGTGAGCAAGCAGCCACACAGTGCAGTCCTGAGCCTTCCGGTAACTCATCAGTTAGAGGGAGGAGTGAATAAGGGCAGAGGGAGGCCAGGGGGCATGTCCTTCCTTCTGCTGAAATGTAAACATCTGGATTGGAGAAGAAGTCTCCTTCCCACTCCATCCCATATATCTGTATCAAGAATCGCTACACAGTTGTTTTTTTCAGTACACGTGAAAGCTTGTTGTATTCATTAGAATAGTGAAAAGGCTGAGGTTTCATACTACCTGGAAGTAAAATTTAAAATTATGAAACCTAAGATAGAAACAAGATCAGATTGAGGCACTATGGACAGATCAATAATGTGTCACCCCTTTTAGCTGAGAATCTCAGACCGACCCTCACTGTTTTAAGAGATGTAAAACCTGTACAGGACAGGGTTGTTGGAGGCAGCCTGTGGCTTTTTCCACAATGTTCTGCGCCAGTCTGCTCCAGCGCTCAATAACGAGCGTTCTCCTCTGAGCAAAGTAGAAATGATACTGCGAAGTCAGAGCTTCAGCAAAGTAAACAGAAGATGCTGAGAGAAGGTGAGGGAACACCTGTAAGTATGATGAAAAGTTTTTTAATGTAATTTATGTAGATTTACGACTAGGTTTCTTTATTGGGAGCACCTTTCTTTTTTTGTGGAACAAAGAGACAAAGCAGGAGATTCTGGGTTTATTAAAAGCAGTATATTTCAACGAGTCAGAGGAAAGCGAAGAAAACAAAAGTCAGTGTTCTTACTCCCTCTTGTTATTGAGAGATGCAACACAACTTTGGCAGAATTAGTTTAAAAAGATGAGAAACTACACGACTGTGTGTGTGTGTGTGTGTGTGTGTGTGTGATTTTCTGAGCTGAACTGAAGGTTATCAGTTTTAATTTATGTATGTTTAAAAAAGTTCTTTAAGAGAAATCCCTTGGAGAATTTGTTGGAAGATAGGGACCCTCTCAAAGTCATGCACATGTTCATGCATAGGTACTTTCTACATACCACTTTACTTGGTTCTTGGACCCTTTCTAAAATTCACTGGTCTCTATTCTTTGCTCTCTTGTTAACCACCCATTTCCTACAGTTAAGAGATGGGTATCCTGTTGAAATGCTTGAAAATAAGAACAGAAAAAAAATCTGTGTTATTGGACAATAAGGCAGTCCAGCAACAGAATAGGCAAAGAGTTACAAGAAAGTGCTTGAGTTTGGTTAATGTTGGTTGTTTTAAAGAGTTGAATAGAATACAGACACGGTTTATACAAACCTTGTGACCAAGTTCTAATTCAAATCTTTTCCCCATACAGTGTTACTAATTCAATGTGCCAGCACTGCTTCTACTCCTTTTTTTTTTTTTTTTTAAGATTTTATTTATTTATTTGACAGGCAGAGATCACAAGTAGTCAGAGAGGCAGGCAGAGAGAGAGGGGGAAGCAGACTCCCTGCTGAGCAGAGAGCCCGCTGCGGGGCTCCATCCCAGGACCCTGGGATCATGACCTGAGCCAAAGGCAGAGGCTTTAACCCACTGAGCCACCCAGGCGCCCCTACTGCTTCTACTCCTTAACACACTCACACTGTACAGTCATAGCTAGTTTTTCGAAAAACTCAACATCCCCTCCTGTATTATTTAACATTAAAAAAATTGAAGTATAATTAATAAACACGCAATACAATATAATAAAATACACAGGTCTTATGTGTAAGGAAAAAGAAGTATCTATCAATCCCATACAAACTCAGAAAAGAGATGTGGGAAGACTTCTGAAATCATTATATGAGGGCCAGGATTGTTTACCCAGATACCGAACCCAGAAAATTCTAAGGAACTATACACCAACACAACCCTCAAAAGCACAGATGCGAAAGATCTTTAACAAAATACTAGCAAATGGAATTAGCAATATATAAAAATTATAAGAGATCATGACCAAGTGGGGTGTATCTGATTAAGTCAAGATTGATTTAACATGAAACTTCATTAATGTAATTATATGAACAGCATAAAGGAGAAAAAAAATGTTCATCTCAATAGACAAAGCATTTGGCAAAGTTCAACAGCCACTCCTAATTTAATAGAAAAACTAGCGAATAAGAGGAAACTTCCTCAATATGATACAGGTTATTAATAAAAACTTAAAGCCAACATCACAGTAATGCTGAAAAACCAAATGCTTCCAAGGTTGAGATAAGAAAAAGTGTCTGCTATCATCACTTTTATTCAACATTATAGCAGAGGTTCTAGTGAGTGCAGTAAGGCAAGAAAAGGCATACAAGTCAGAAGAGAACCCTTTATTTGTAGACAATAAGGTCATGTACATTAAAAAAATTCTAAAGAATAATAAAAAAAAAGATCTAGTGAGTGAATTTAGCAATATCCATACATGAAAATCAATTGCATTTCCATAAACTAGCAGCCAACAAGTGAATATGAATTTTAAAAATACATTTACAATTAAGTCAACAATATGAAATGCTTAGGATAAAGTAATAAAATGTGAGCAAAAATTAGATCGACAAGACTTCTCAACAGCAAAATTAAGACCGTAAGAGAATGAAATTTGGGGGAAGTAAATGTCAAGCTACATCAAGAGTGAGGGAAAAATTCATTTCTAGAAAAAAGAATTTGACCCTCATCAAAATGACTTATAAAAGATATGCTTCAGAAACTTGGACTTTGGAAATACAAATTAAGCCATTACAGGATAGCCATTTAATAAAAGTAGAAATAGAGACAACTTGACCAATCCAGTGGTAAACAGTAAAGAAGAAAAAAGGGCAGAGTAGATAGCATAAAAATATTTGATAGAAATAAATTTAGGAGTTATCAAAATAAATGTAAATGGACTGACTTTGCTAGGTAACAGATGACAATTCAATTTGGACTAAAGCCAAAATCTAGTAATATGCCCTTTAATGAGATATATCTAAAACATTAACATAGGAAACCTTGAAGAAATGGAAAGAAAAAATGATATAGTAAAAATACTAATATTAACCATATGCAGGCAAATATTAACCATACATAAGTTGCCTTAGCTATATAAGACATTAAAACAGCATTATGAGGAAAAAAGAGTGACTACAACAGTGATAAAAACAACAGTTCACAGGAAAATGAATAAACCCAGAAATTTTGTGGAAGATGTTATACTTTTAGCAAATGATGAAACAAGACAAAATTAGTAAAGCTGTAAAATATTTGAAAACATTATACAACACTACATTTAACAATTAGAGAATTTATATTTTTTTTGGCACACACTGTTAAACATTTGTAAAATTTGACAACTTAGTCACAAAAGATCTAACAAATAGCAAAGAATCAACACGATACACATAACTTTTTTTGATGTATTACAAAAGGAATAGAACTCATTAACAATAGAATTCTCCACTTTTGTATATGAAAAAAATGATTTTACAGAACTGATACATCAGAAAAGAAATCACCAAGTTAGAAAATACTTGAAATCAAAGTTAAGGATATATAAATCACACTGAAGAGGTCATGGAGTAAAACTAAGAGGCCAAAAGGTATGCCTTTAGAAATTTATGTTAATAAGGAAGGTTGGGAGCACCTGGCTGGCTCACTCAGTGGAGCATGCAATTCTTGATCTGAGGGTCAGGACTGAAGAGTTTGAGTCCCATATTTAGCATAGAGATTACTTAAAAATAGAATCTTTTAAAAAACGAAGGCTAGACAGCATGGAGTTGGATAGAAGTTAGAAAATGACAACATAAATGAATGTGAATGGAAAATAACAATAGCAGAAATTAATAGAGTAGAACATGAAAAAACTGAGGATCAACAAAAGCTGGAGCTTTGAAAAGATTAACAACTAGCAAAATAGATTCTGTACAAAAGAAAGCAGGCAAAAAATAGGCAAAAAAAAGTGACAAAACTAGATAGTACAGATAAATACGCAATTCCTAAGAAAAATGTAATTTAGCTAAATACAATAAAGAAGGATAAGAGAATTTATAATCATTTAAAAAACCAAGACAAAAATTTGCCCACAAAACACAGGATAAAATATTTTTAATGGCAAGTTTTACCAAACCTGAATCGGTAACAATTTGTTCCATAGAGCAAAAAAAGAAGGTCCTCAACTAATTTAATGAGGCTAGTATGGCCTTGTTTTTAAATTTTATTTGTGATATAGGTATAAAAAATCCTAAGCAAAATATTAGCAAACCAATTCCATCTATGGCTTTAAAAACAAATGCAACTTATAAGAAATAATAGAGGAAAAACTTCATGACATTGGATTTGACAATGATTTCTTGGGTATAACATTGTGTATAACATCAAAAGCAAAGAAAACAAAAGGAAATATTGATAAACTGAACTTAATCAAAATTAACTTTTGTGCATCAAAGGACACTCCAACAGTAAAAAGCCAACCCACATAATGGGAAAACATTTGTAGCTCACATATCTGATAAGGGATTAATATCTAGAACATTTAAGGGACTCCTAAGATTCATCAACAGAAACAACCCAATTCAGAAACAGGCATAGGACTTGAACAGATATTTTTCTGAAGGAATACAAATGGACAATAAGCATATAAAAAGACGCTTGATATCATTAATCTTTAAGATAATGCAAGTCAATATACCACAATGAGATGCCATTTCATACCATTAGGATAGGTATTATGGAAAAAACCCACAAAACAAGTATTAGCAAGGATATGGAAAAACTGGAACCCTTTGCAGTCCTGGTGGGAATATAAAATGGTGCAGCCACTCTAGAACACAATATGTAGGCTCATCAAAATATAGAATTACTATTGATTAACAATAACACTTCTGGGTGTATATATAAAAATTAAAAGCAGAAACTCAAGTAGGTTTTTTCCTTAAAGAGTTATTTATTTGACAGAGACAAAGTGAGAGAGGGAATACAAGCAGGGGGAATGGGAGAGGGAGAAGCAGGCTTCCTGATAAGCAGGGAACCAGATGCGGAGCTCGATCCCAGGACGCTGGGATCATGACCTGAGTCGAGGGTAGACGCTTAACTTACTGAATCACCCAGGCACCCCTCAAATAGATCTTTGTATTAGCATATATACAGAAAGTGGAAATGACCCAGATGTCTACTGATAAACAAAATGTGGTACATATACCCAATAGAATACTATTCTGTATTCTAGCACTTGAATACTTGAAAAGGAATGAAATTCTGTTAGGTGCAGACATGAATAAATGAAATAAGCCACACACAAAAGGAAAATTAATGTATGAGTCCATTTATATGAGGTACGTGGAATAGTCAAATTCATAGAGACAGAAAATAGAATAGTAGTTACTAGGGGATGGGGGGTGGAGTAAATGGATAGTTACTGCTTAATGGGTATAGGATTTCAGTTTGGGATGATGAAAAGGTTGATTGCACAAAAATGTGTATATAATGCTACTGAACTATACACTTAAAAATGATCAAAATGATAAATATTTTACCACTGTACTATAATAAAAAAATGTGACTATACAGTACCCAGCCCATTTCTAGACAAATAAACCAATAGAAAGAAACCTCAGTGTATGTCAAAGACAGCAGAAAGATTAGTCTGAATAGTGCTGAAATGGTAGGCTATTTTCATGGAAAATGAAATAAAATTAGATCCCCGTTTGACAAAATACCAAACAGTTTAAAGACCCAAGTGAAAAAGAGAAAGTACCAAGTTGTAGAGAAAAACCTTAAGGGAAAAGGTGATAGAGGACACTGATATTTAAAACTCCCGAACATCAACAAAAAAATAAGGTAAGAATAAAGTAGAAACCAGTAGTTATAATCCATGTAAATAAAGACACGGCATACTATCCAGAATATATAAAGAGCCCATTCTGTTAAGAAAAAGACATTCTGGTTGAAAAGTGGGCAAAGTACACAATATGCAATTTATAGAAGGAACGAGCGACCAATAAACATTTGAATTCTCAGAAGTAACTAACTCAGAGATAAAATCTCATAAATAATTAGAACAAAGAGAAACCACTTCAAATTCATTGCCTTAGGTAATTTCAATGTCCAATGATACAACGTGATCGTGTGTGGGGAAACTGGAACTTAAACACATTGCTGAGAGGAGAGTGATAACACTTCTCGTGTCAGGAGAACTGGTATAACCACTTTAGAGAGCAACTCCCCTTCTAGGTATCAGCTCCACAGAAACTTAGTCACATGTGTGCAAGAATGTAGAATATTCACCGCAGCACTAACTTGTAATAATGAAAAAAGTGGAAGCAAATTATCTCTCAAAAGAATGTCTAGTTTATTTATGAATAAAATACTGTACAACGATGGAAATAATCTACATCTGCCAACATGGATAAATCTCAAAAACAATGGTGAGTTAAAAATCAGTTGCAAAAAAATATATATACTATAACATTCGTGAAAAATGTTAAAATATAAAACAAAATGGTCTATGGATAAACGCTACAGCAAGAATACAGAAATATTAAAAGTACAAAAACAACAAATTTGCGATCACCCAATAGTTTTCTGTGGTGATGGAAATGTTCTATATCTGCATTGACCCCAACATGGTAACCACTAATTAGCGAACTATCCTGAAAGTCCAAGACACAATTTGTGATTTTGCTGAGTTATCGCTGAAAAATGTACACACAGAGTTTGGTATTCAGAGCTAGTCACTTACCTAGTCCCTGAGCCTCAGCAACCATTAATTCTTTAATAATGATCTCACATTTTATTTGAAATTTTAAATATAACAGTGATATAAGGGATCCACAAACAGTTTAGGGTATACCCTACTATGCATGCCAAGGATTTATTTTATTCAAGTATTATAGAGAGTTGCAAAAGATCCTTGGCCTGTCTTCAAAAATCATTCATTCTAGTATTTTCCACTTAAGGAAAAAAAAAAGGCACCAAAAGCTTGTAATTAAAACATCTTAATTTGATTATTCATTTCTAAAATTTCTACAGAAGATACATTCTGAGTAAAATTAAGAGTTTTAGGCAGTTTAAGAAATAGGGCTTCAGTTCAGTTATTTATATTTAAAAGAAAAAATAAACCAAATTTATTAATGGTATAAAAAAAAACATATTTGAAGTCCAGTTTTGAAGAATTTTCGTGATCTAGAGTTCAAAGAATATTCCATGGCAACAGTTCAACCCTATTGTGTACTATCTTAGAGATTCTCTCTCGGAGTGATAAAAGGAGGTGTAATAGGATGGATTTAAACATCATCCAACAAACAGCATCCGTCACTGTATTTGCTTCATACTTCTTTTTTTAGAACTGCGTCTGGAATCCTTTTTCTGTTTGAAAATCGGAGAATTTAAGAAACACAAATCTGTAAAAGGGTCTCCTCTTCTCAGTTTCCTATAAGAGTAAAAATAATTCTTAGACATAATTATAAGTATCCCAATACTAACTCACTCTTCAATATAGTTATTGTAAAACATGCCAGTGCTAGTAGTCCCACGTCAGTTTTTAATTAAAACTTAATATTTCAACAAGACTCATTCTTTTTTTTTTTTTTTTAAGATTTTATTTATTTGACAGACAGAAATCACAAGTAGGCAGAGAGGCAGGCAGAGAGAGAGGGGGAAGCAGGCTCCCCGCTGAGCAGAGAGCTGGATGTGGGGCTCGATCCCAGGACCCTGGGATCATGACCCAAGCCAAAGGCAGAGGCTTTATTTAACCCACTGAGCCACCCAGCTGCCCCAACAAGACTCATTCTTGAACAAAGCTCCAAACTTTACTCCCCCAACATGTATCATTAAAGGTGGGTTCCCACAAATCAAATACTTACGAAGCTAGCGTGGGCTCTTTATAATTCATACTGACTGCACACCTGCGTTTAGGCAGAGACACTCCTGGGCTTGCTTTCTTTTTTGGAGAAAGAGAAAGTTTTCTGATTTTCACTACAGGATGCAAGGGGACATTGGTGATATCATTCAGGCTAAAATGAGGTGAGCGGTGAGTTTTAGGTAGTGCACCTACAAAAACAATTTTTACTGAATATGGTTCCAAATGAAAGAAAAAAACACAGGAACTAAAATTGTGTGCAATTACATATCCTAAACATACAAATCCAACATTTTACATATAAAATATATATATACACATATAATTATATAATACAGATCTTTAACTCAGTCATTTTTTCATCCCAGATAACACTGAAATATTACTGTAGATGTGAAGAACTGATATGTTATTAAAACACTAAATTCTTTAAAAAATTATAATTCTTCAACGATAATATGGGTATAATGAATTAAATTATGGAATTTCATTTTAGTTTCACCTTGCTCCGTTGAATCTTCAAGGCCTCCATCTTTTTCAATACCGAAATTTATGAAGTGCCTTCCTATAGTCTTAAAAAGCCACTTAAATTCACTTTATTAAATAAATGAGAATTCTACACCATAGTCTCTGTGGAGGTCAACAGGAAAGGGGTTCCCTCTGGTAAAGCTAATATGTTAAAAAGTTACCCATGTTTTTCCTATTATAAGCATCCAAGTTATTCTACTTTGGAGATAGATCTATATTGGGTGACAGGTACACAGCACACAGAAGGACAATACAAGACAATCTCTTCACACAGCTTTAAAAGGCAAATTGTTTTTTGAAGTCAAACTATAACTGTAAAATGCCTATATTTAGCAACCATGTTCTCCAGGGTTATCTAGGTTTCAAATACTGCCTCTTTTTGTCCCCACATAAGTTTACTGTACTATACTAATTATTCCAACTTTTAGTTTGGAAAAGTATGGCTAAGCAACATCAGATCAGTTGCTATATTCTGGAACAATGCTTCTTATAATTTATGAATATACAAATACCCCAGGGAACCTGTTAAAAAGATGCGGATTCTGATTCAAGGGTATGGCCTGAGAGTCTGCATTTTTAAGAAGTTTCACATAAGGGGCACCTGGGTGGATCAGTGTTAAGCTCCTGCCTTCGGCTCAGGTCATGATCCCAGGACCCTGGGATAGAGTCCTGCAAGGGCCTCCTTGCTCAGCTGGAGCCTGCTTCTCCCTCTGCCTGGTACTCCCCCTGCTTATTCTCTCTCTCTAACAAATAAATAAAATCTTAAAAAAAAAAGTTGTTTCATTTAATTGATGCTAGTGATCTGGGGATTAAACTCTGAGTGACACTACATTAGAGTGTAGTTTTTTTTTTAATTCACTGTGTAAAATTTCAAGGATACACAAATTTGGACACAAAAATCTAATGAAACCCCAGTTACCACGCTTCAACAATTATCAACATTTGGCCAATTTTGCTTGATTTTGTAACATTAGGATAGCATATTAAAAACAACAACAACAACAACAACACATTTGCATACTACCACGGCTGTACTGGTTGACCTTGGAAAGTAATTTAAATTTTTTAGGTTTTAAGTTTCCTTAAAAACAATATAAACATGGTGGTACCTACACATCATAGAGTTTTTCTTTTTTTTTCCCCAAGATTTTATTTTTTTATTTATCTGACAGAGAGAGCATAAGCAGGGCGAGAGAAGCAGGCTCCCCACGGAGCAGGGAGTGTAATAAGGGGCTTGATCCCAAGACTCTGGGATCATGGCCTGGGCCAAAGGCAGACACTTAACCCACTAAGCCACCCAGGTGCCCCTTCATAGAGTTTTTCTGAGTATCAAATGAAATAGCATGACAATGTTTTGGGAATGCTACAACCTGACCATATGCATTAGTTTTACCACACTAACTAAATTCCCCAAATGAGACTCTCTGAACAGATGTAGGCTCTATTATCAACTTTTGAACCATTCCTACTTTTGATCTTACTAATAAAAGCAAGATTTTCTAAGCCAAAGTTTTTAGATGTCTTACAAGTGTCTTAGAGAAGAATACTTAGCCCATACTGAGAAAAAAGTTTGGTCTAGTGTTTGGTCACCTTTCATTAACTAGAATGAATCAATTTAAAATCATGGTTCCTGTCAAATTGAATATGAAGGAAAGCCATTAAAATGACAGGTCACTGGATTCAAATTTGATTTTGTTTTCAAGAGCCTGTTTCAAGTGAGTGTATAGAAGGTATTTTAATTCAACTGAACTCCACCAAAGGTTTTTGGTTACATTGGAAGGCTTCATTTACTAAAAGTAAAAACGCTTTCTCTGTAACTAGCATTTGTTCTTAAAGAAGATTTAAATTAGCTTAAAGTAGGTCATAGCCATACAATCGTGATTTCCACCCCAGGCCCCCATTGTTTAATCAGACTGTAACTTCCCCCAGAGACAGATGGCAAGTCTCTAACCTCCCCCAGAGAAACAGATGGTAAGTATAGCATATAAGCATCAGGAGTGATCATTTATTATAAACACTAAAAATGCAGGCAAACAAGTAAATCACTTACTGATAGGAGTTTTCGTAAGCTTAGAATCCACGATCTCTTTTTCATTCCTATATTTTAGTGCTCTTCTAGGTCGATACCTGGTGACTGGGCTCCTATCTGATTCACTAGAGACATCTTGACTGTACTTGCAAGTGGGCAAATAAAGGTCATCGGAATCATCTCCTGAATCACTTGATTCACAGACGCTCACTTCAAATTCATTGTTGTTTTCTTCTCTGTTAGAATCATTGCTCGCTTTTTGGCGGAAAGGAGTGATATGAATACCCTCTTCCAAATTAAAATTGTAAGCATCACTGGAAGTAACAGATTCGTCCAACTTTTTTTTGGAAACAGTTTTTTTATTTTCACTTTTGCCCCCTTTATACTTCGATACAGATTTTGATTTTCTCCTTCTATTAGCTTTTCTTTTCTCTTCTCCTTTTCTTCCTTGTGCACTTCTATGCTTGCTTTCAGTTTGTTCAAATTTATATTCTAAAATGTTTTCTTTTGCTTTAGCAGGTCTTCCTGGGTCAATCAGCTTTAGTGATAAGTTAGTTTGATTCTTATTCCATTGACAAACACTTTGTTCTATGTTTTCAGGTATATTCATGTTTACTAATGGGTCTACACATCTAATTCTTTCAGATTCAAAGGGCTGCACTGAGAAATGACTGATTTCAAAATCTTCCAAGGTATTGAAATGAGACAGATTGTTAAAATGTTTCTTTAAACTTCGACGAACAGATACAGTTCTAGGTAGGATATTATCAGCAGATTTATCTTCTTCTGAATCCCAATCAAATCCCAGTCTATCTTGAGAAATAGGTATTTGCTCTGAGAATTTTTTAAAAAATGAGAAAAATAGTTTTACTTTATGGAAATTTTAATTTTAGCAATCTTAGAACTCAAAATTAAAAATGGAATAAATGAAAAGTCATTCTGTATCTTCTCCACACTTGTTCTAAGTAAATACAAATCTGAGGAACTTAACATTGCCATTTATTTATTTAGCAATGATCAATTGATGGCTTCTATCTGACCTGTGAAAGAACCTTACATAACTTTTGAAAATATTCTAACTGGAGGTTTTCTGCGTCCCTAATTTAAAGGTTTAAGAAAAACTAGTAGGTTATATGTATTTATGTTTGTAGGATTCAGTGGGAAAGAACCTCATATTTTAAAGTAGGACAAGCACACTTGAGAAAGTGGGAGCTAAGGTGTTCCTTGAAAAATTAGTAAGATTGGGGTAATTGCAAAGGTAAGAAATATAATCTGTATTTTTAGGAAAAGTGAGGATATTTGGTCCTGTTTATTCAAATGATATCCCTTCTTCAAAGCTTAGTTCAAGTAGAAAGGATTGATATTTGAGAGCAGGGACACGTCAGTTTAGGCAGAGGCTTTGACCCACTGAGCCACCCAGGCGCCTGGGACACGTCAGTTTAGAAGTGGAAAGAATGGCATGGCTTTCTAGGTCAGCTTTGAGTTTAAACACCAGGCTTTTACCATTTGGGCCACTTCTTGTGAGATAATTTACTTCTTTGAGTCTATATAAAATGGGACCAATTGCACCTACATTCCAAGGTTGTTGTGAGGGTCAAGTGATGTAATGTATGTAAAATGGCTAACACATAGTAGCCACTGGCATACATAGTAGCTATATACATAGTAGCTTGGCACATGGTAGGGCTCAGTAAATTGCAGCCATTTATAGCCAATTATAGATTTGGCAAAATAAATGGATGTATTTTAAAACTTATTATTTCGTGTAAAATAAATACATCTATTTATTAATTTATTATTATTATTATTATTTATTTATTGCTTTGAGCAGAAAAAATCCAGATGAGCAAATTTAAAATGTTAAAAAATATTAGAGAAATTTAATTTTTACTTGTTCACAAAGATCTCGTGTTGCCCTTAATATTATTTTTAGATTTTTACTTAAATTACCTTCTGTTTGGAATGATTCTCCTTGTCCTGGAAGGTGAGCTTCCTGAAGAGGAACTTGTCTAGCCAATGAAAAATAGAAATTTATTTTATAATTATATAATAAAAACAAATTTAAGACGTTCTTAAAATTGTTTTTCTCTTTCTTTAGTATTTCATAATTCTATTCGAAATCAGTATATCTGTTCAGTATCAAAGAAAACAAACATACAAAAATATATGTTGCTTATATGGAGGCTGGTTTGTTACAAATGACATGTAACTTCCACTAGAAGAACAACCTTACCAATGAAGACATGCCATAACTCATAATTTAATTTACCTGGTGAAGCAGTCAATTGGAACAGACTTATAAAATATATTACAGAAATGCAATCTGATTACTCAACTCTTTATCAGCCTGCTTCATCATTAGTCGAGCTGTGATCTTTTTTTTTCTTGGCAGTATATGTTTTTACGGTGCCTAACTACTGACCTCTTTGAAGTTAACCTATTTGTTTAAAAATCTTGTCCCTCTTTGGCTCATGAAACAACTTTCTTTATGCTTTAATACTATTACTGGCTTTTTCATCCTAATTTTATTTTTTATTTCCTATAAAGATTTTTTCCCTCTAGACATTGAAAATTAAATATAGGTTTAGGTAACAGAGTTATGGTAACTAACAGTTTGAGGAATCTTATAAAAAGTTAAGTACCCCATCTTACTTTTTGACCATTACATAAATATTTTGTTAGATCTTACAGTTCAACTATTTTCAACTATTCATGATTAAAATTAATACAGGGATAGAAATCGTCTTAGTGATTATTTTTGTGAAGAGAAGGGGAAAGACTTGAAAGGGATAGGTGATGCCCTATGGCAATGATTCTAATTAGGGATAATTATAAGGATAACTGGCACTGTCGAGTTATTTTTGTTCTCATAACCGGGGGAGGGAAGTGCCACTGACATTTAGTGGTAGAGGCCAGGGATCCTGCCAAATGTCCCACAATGCTTAGGATAGCCCTCCACAACAAAGAATGATCTGGCCTAAAATGTTAATAATGCTAAAACTGAGAAAGCCCAGCTAGAGTGACAGCAGTGCTCTATATCATAATGGAGATTTTGGCTCCACAGGTGTATATATTAGTCAGACTCATCAAACTGTGCAATTAAGATCTGTACATTTTACTTTATGTAATTATATCTCAATAATTTATAAGCAAAGTATACTTGATCTAAGAGAAGGGGAGGAGGGTATATGGGGTGGTCTGACTGTATTTAGGAATGAGATGGATTAACAAGACAGGTGATAGCTGTGTTACACTTGATCTTAGCCAAAAGGCCGAGAAGCGATGTGATAGCTGTGTTAAACAAGATGTTTTATTATGCTTTGTTTCTAAACCAGACTATGTGTAGTACTGGCAAAAATACCTTCAGGTGAATAACCAATCCATCTTATAATAAAAACATGAAATAAGAAAAATATAAGTGAAGAAGTTCAGATATATTTAAATAACTAGCTTATTCCTAGACATCAATAAAGTAAGTATGAAAAAGTTTTGGCTTGGCTATATGTAACAATCTGTATCATATTATTTTAATGCATTTTTAGTACAGAAAACATCAGACTCCAAACACAAGAATCTATACTATGCAAATTTTCTTTGGTAAATCCATCACAAAATTAAATCTTTCTTGATATTAGTAATCATAATAATGAAATTTGATACTAACGGTATATCCTTCACAAATAAATCCCCAGAGTTGTTGTCACTTTTGGAGTCCATTCCAGAAGGACATATTTCCTGGTTCTGTTAATATATTAAAATAAAGAAAACAGTGGTACAATTGAAATACTCATAACAAAGCATTCATTTATTTAATAATAAAAACGTATGAGCACTCTATATGGTGCCAGGCTCTGTTCTAGGAACTAGATGTATAGCAACTTAACAATAGATTTAGGTCCAACCCTCTTACATTCTAAGGTAGGGAGAGAAAATTTTAAAACAAAAGAAAAGAGATATATAAGTAATTTCAGACATTGTAAATGCTATGAAGGAAATACTCAGAGCTGAAATGATAGAGTACTTGAGGTTGGAGGGGTTCTCTTAGGGTGACTTTCATCTGAAATTTAAAGAATGCAAAGGAGCTAGCCATTGAAAGAGCAGGGGAAGAAAAAGTGATAGAAACAGCAAATACAGAAGTCATGGTGTAGGAAAAACCTTGCTGTATTTAGAAAAGAAAGGCCAGGGGACCTGGGTGGTTCGGTCGTTAAGCGTCTGCCTTTGGCTCAGGTCATGCTCCCAGGGCCCTGGGATCAAGCCTCCCTGCTTGGTGGGAAGCCTGCTTTCCCTCTCCCACTCCCTCTGCTTGTGTTCTTGCTTTCACTTTCTCTCTGTCAAATAAATAAATAAAGTCTTTGAAAAGAAAGGCCATTGTGGCTGGAGTCACCTATGACCTCTCTCATAGTGAGAACAGTAGGGGGTGTGTGCACAGAGACCACATAATGAAGCCTTGGGAGTCATGAGTTTGAATTTTAGTCTAAGTGTGATGGGAAGTCACATAAATATTAAGAAAGAAAGTAAAATGATCTACGTTTTAAAAAGATCAGTCTGGCCACTGTATGAAACATGGACTGAATGGGGCCAAGAGCAGGAGGAGTTAGGAAGTCATTATAATAAATCTAGCAAGACATGCCTATGAGCTAGGACTCGAGTCCTATGGCTACAAAGATGAAGCCCAGTGGAAGGTATTAAGAGGACAAAGTGTGCTGGATTGAAGAGGGGTGGAGGTGGGGACAGTAAGGGAGAGGGAAGCCTCTTTGGTTTTGAGCAAATGGGTAGGTTATTTTATGAGATGAATAAGACTCACAGACAGAGGCAGAAATATACAATAACTTTGGGAAAGGAAAAATAAAGAGTTGTACTTTGTACAAAGCATGTTTAAGATCCTTTATAAGTATTTAAGTAGATATATCAAATAGTAGTTTTGTGTGTGTGTGCTAAGTTATAAATTTGGAAGTCATCAGCAGACAGATCACATTTAAAGCTGTGGGAGGGGGATAAGACAGTATGGGTCTAGAACAATTGACATTTGAAAGTAAAGAAGAAGTGAGAAAAGAAGCTGACCTGGAATAGTCAGAAAGGCAGGACAACCAGGAGAGTATGATAGTAAGAAAGCTAAGAAATCAAAGTATTTTTTTTTTCAAGGTCAAGAAGAAAGAAGTGACCAATAAATTTGGCCACTAAAAATGGGGGTTGTAGGCACCTGGCAGAGTGACCATAGAACCATGGGAATAAAAGCCAGGTAAAAGTAAGTTCAAATGTAAATGGAAGCTGGGGAAGTGAAGACAGCAAGCACACCGTCCTCTCTGCTAAATTTCTGCTGTGAAGGGAAGCAGAGAAATGAGTAAAGGGATATGAAACCAGGAGAGGTTTCATTTATTTTCTTTTTTCTTTTCTTTTTTTTTTAAATTTTATTTATTTGGCAGAGAGATCACAAGTAGTCAAAGAGGCAGGCAGAGAGAAAGGGGGAAGCAGGCTCCCCGCTGAGCAGAGAGCCCGATGTGGGGCTCGATCCCAGGACCCCGAGATCATGACCTGAGCGGAAGGCAGAGGCTTTAACCCACTGAGCCACCCAGGCACCCCTATTTTTTTTTTTTCACTTATTTTCTTTTCCTCTTAAGGTATGAGATAGTAAAGCACATTTGAATGATAGCGAGAATGATTCAGCCAAGAGGGAAATACATGTTGAAAGAGTACAAACTTCTAGGAGCAAAGTCCTAGAGATGAGAAAAAGGGAATCTGATGCACAGGAGGGAATCTGATGCAGAGTCTTCGATAGGAGCAGAGGCACTTCTGCCACTGTGACAGGAGGGAAGATGAAAAACACAGCACAGACACAGGCAGATTTGTACATTTGTATTAGGAAGGTTTTCACTTCCAGACGGATTCCTTAGAGATCACTCTAATCCAGTTCAGTTGTTTTTTTAATTTGATGCACATATAAGATGCTGACATTATGATAGGTTAAAACTGTTCAAGAGAAACAAAACAACTAGAAATTTAATCCTGTTAAATGTCTTCAATTTATTTTCAGTACCGCTAACGTTCTAAACGTTAACGTTCTAACATTTAAGTAGTAGTAGTATTGAAGGTAAAGAAGAATATTTAACTATAGAATTTATTTTTATTTTTAAATTTTTTTAAATTTTAAAAAATTTTTTAAAGATTTTATTTATTTATTTGACAGAGAGAGAGAGATCACAAGTAGGCAGAGAGGCAGGCAGAGAGAGAGAGGGGGGGAAGCAGGCTCCCCGCTGAGCAGAGAACCCGATGCGGCACTCGATCCCAGGACCCTGAGATCATGACCTGAGCCGAGGCAGAGGCCTTAACCCACTGAGCCACCCAGGTGCCCCGAATTTATTTTTATTTTTTTTAAAGATTTTATTATTTATTTGATAGAGAGAGAGAGACAGTGTGTGAGCACGGAGGGAGAAGCAAACTTCCCATTGAGCAGGGAGCCTGATGTGGGACTCAATCCCAGGACTCTGAGATCATGACCTGAGCCGAAGACAGATGCTTAACCGAATGAGCCACTCAGGTGTTCCAGGAATAATATAATTTAATAACAAGTTACTAAAAGATTCATTATAAAATTTAGGGAACAAAAGGTTATTAGGAATTACTTTGGGATTAATTCTTATAAACCAAGTTAACTATTGACAGGCAAGAAAAATATTTTTCTCATTAAAACATTTTAAGCTGGGGCGCCTGGGTGGCTCAGTGGGTTAAGCCTCTGCCTTCGGCTCAGGTCATGATCTCAGCGTCCTGGGATCGAGTCCCGCATCGGGCTCTCTGCTCAGCGGGGAGCCTGCTTCCCTCTCTCTCTCTCTCTCTCTCTGCCTGCCTCTCTGTCTACTTGTGATCTCTCTCTGTCAAATAAATAAATAAAATCTTAAAAAAAAAAAACAAAAAAAGATTTTAAGCTTTTCTATCACTCATAAATTGACTTTATAAGCATGGAAGCATGAGTATAGAATGATGGATGAGAGAGTGACACATGTACCAAGTATATGGCAGAAAACAAACTTTGATGTTTTAAATGCTAAGAACACTTTTGCCCAGCAATTAATATGTTCTAATAAATACTTAAAAATCATTGATAAATATCAAAAGACCTGGAATAATAGAATTTTTGCCCACAGTTTTTGTGATTATCTTATCAGGTACCCATTTTTCACTATTCTATATATGATTCCACCACAAACTTAGGAAAGGGAAAAGGAAGAGTCAAATATCTTTGGAGGGATTTTTTTTCTTCACTAGTTGACCAAACAAGGAAAAATAAATAAATAAATAAATAAAATAGGAACGATTATATTCTGAAGGAAAAAAAAAACACCTTTTAAAATAATCTAACCCTTGGGGCGCCTGGGTGGCTCAGTCCTTAAGCGTCTCCCTTCAAATTCCAGGGTCCAGGGATCGAGCCCTGCATCGGGCTGCCTGCTTGGTGGGAAGCCTGCTTCTCCCTCTCCCACTCCTACCCCCTCTCCTTGTGTTCCCTCTCTTGCTGTGTCTCTGTCAAATAAATATATAAAATAAATAAAATAAAATAAATAAAATCTTTAAAAAAATAACCCTCACATGAAGGAAATTATATTGAATCTTTATAGATAATTCTCTGCTACACTACATATGCACATATTGCATATATATGTATGTACATTCTCTGTATCATACACAGAAAAAATATGGAATCACTTTAGTTGCTGGGAAGCAAGAACTCTTTCACTGACTCCCCTGTCAGGGGTGAGGTGACTTCCTGAGTCTATACCCTTCCACTATGGTCTGGCTTTCTTCTCTGGTTTCCTGGCCTAAGTGCCAACACAACTGTCTTTACTAGCATAGCAAATAGATGGCCAACAGGAAGAAAGCAAACTGTTTCTGTTAATGCCCAGTTAGTGTATAGTTTTCCTTATTTAACCAACCATTAGTAAAATTGACTCTTCAAAAAGCACTTAAATACTCCCCTCCCAAATTAAGGTAGTTCTTATAAAACCTCACTAGATGTAACAAAACCACATAGAATAGGTAAGATTTATACTTTATATTGATTAAAACTTTTGGACTGTCTACATCAAGTACCACTTTTAGACCTTTCGCTATCTTTGACTCACTTAAGTGAACAAAGGGACCAGCAGTGCAATAAGCTAAACTAGTTCTTCTGTACCTTGTCTCGCTAACTGCTTTTAAGAACCAAGTTATATAAGCACAAGTCTCAGTCATGTATGTGCTTGAAGTTTCCTTAACTTACAAGAGATGTTTTGATCAATTTGCTAATAACAGAGCTATTAGTAATTAATTTAAATAACATAATTGATCTAAATTACCAATTCATGTCTATTACATTTTTTCCTAAGAAATTTATCATTTGTAATAAAATTACCTGAGCAGTTTCTTCTGTTTGTTGTGGAGTCAGTTTTTCTTTCAATGCATATAGCTGACACGTGAGGTAGTAACATTCTTTTCTCAGTTGGAGGATGATATCTTGGGCTTCTCTCACTTTGGATTTTTCATTTTCCAAAGCTAAAACTAACATTCTGTTGTTCTCTTGGTAGTTTTTTAGCAGCGTAGAAGTGTTGGCTAAAAGAGGAAAAAATTTTTCTTATTATGTATTAAGTCTAAACGTAAAAAGTGATGCAAAAGGACATGAAAATCTCTTACAGATTATTTGGATTTGGCATGGTGCAGTTATAAAAGATTTTCGTTTGCCAATCTCTGCCAAATTTTTATTCCTTTTCTCTTTCATCCGTTTCTTTATGTCTTCAAGACTGTCTTGAAAGGACTTTTTAAGGCACCTTTCCTTGGCCATCTTCTGCCTAGGAATTTAAAACAATAAAAAGTATTTAAGTTACCTAAGAGATAAGATCATCAAATAGAAATTAAGATTGAGAACACAGGTAGTTCATAAAGAACAAATTAAATAGATTAAATAGACATAGTAACTAGAATTAGCTTATAGAAGATGATACTATTTAGATTTAGATTTTGGTAATAACTTAGATTTTGCAGCTTTAAAATCTCATTAATATTATATAATATTAGCCTCTTCAGGTACTTTATAGGGAAGGTTAATAAGTATGCATTTTCAACCAAAGCCTCTATAATATGCCACTATTTATTCTTTAACAAATACTCACTGAAGGCTTACTGTATAGGCATTATGGGAAATAATATTATGTTTTAGTGTTATTATTATTTTGATATTATTATATGTTTCCTACAGGCAATGCATATGACCAACATGTAGTGTTTTAGTGTTTACTAGACTTACAGCATTAGTTCAGAGGTAATCATATATGTGGGCTTTGTTTTCCAGTTCTGCTCTATATTATTAATTTATTAGATTAGGTCACTCGATTAACTCTTTCTACCACACTCTTTTAACCCAATACTCAAGATATAGCACACACTTTCAATAAAGTCAAGGTCATCTTCAGAGGTTTCAATTTTAATAGGCAACTATAACAATTATAGAGCTAGAAAGAATAGGAACTGAAGCAGGGGAACATGCCAGTTTTCTCAAAGTTTTTTTAAAACTCAGGTCTGCTAGCTCCTAGTAAGTCATGAATATATCAAACAACATTAAATAATGATTGCTCTACATACAGTTAAAAGTAGCAAAACAAGTGATGATAGTGGCATAATGCTACTGAGCATATAAATAAGTACATAAGTATACATAAATATACTTAAATTTTTCAATACTGCAAATCAGATTTGCTTCAATATTCTACTACTAAGCATATCAAACTACTTTTCATGAACATCTTTTTTCCTAAATTGCACTTTGCAGATCTTAAAATTGCAAAAATAATTCTTGTTTCCTACAGCTATATATACATTACAAAAGATAACTCCATCTCCTCTCAGTCAAGTATTTTACTAAATCTTACATTTTCTTGAATATTTTCTCCAGGCCTTATTTTCCTTGAAACAGTGTCTGGGGGTGTTAAATATAGGTATTATAGATCCCATTATTTTCTGACAGTGTAGATACAACACGGGATGGTTCTAGTAGAGCAAGCACAACAATTTTTTTTTTAAAGCACTAATGTTAAGTGGATTGTATAAAACAATGTATCACAATGGAGCATTTGAAGTTTCCACCGGAGATGTTTGAGAGCCATACAGATGAAGTAATTGATCAAGTTAGTTTAGCAAAGACTTACCTAAAAAACTTTTGTTACCACGTTTAACCAACTTAAAATCACAAAAGAAATTGGCCATATCAGAAGTTTCCTGTCTAGGCCAATGGTGTTAACAGGCGGTTTGGTTGGGAGAACTAATGAAAACAGGTTACTGTGCGAGATAAGAGTCCGTCTGTATTCAGATGAACCTGGAATACTGGAGCTCTGTCATAATTTTCACATTCGTGCTGCTGAAGCAGCCAGGTAGGACACTGATCAGGGCTAGCTTCTCCAGGATAACCGAAGAGAAACAAGGTCAACGGTATCGCACTGCACAAAGAACAGCTGCCGGCTTGTGCGCCCGAACATTAAGCCTAGTGTAAATGCTTTCACACATAACTTAATCCACAAAATTCTGCAAGGCAGGAGGTTAGGGTATCCCAGTATTTAACAGAAGAGGAAATTAGAGCGTCGGAAGGCGCAAGTCCGGTGGATGAACACAGAATGGCACCCGATCAATTTGACTCCACAGCCTGAGCTTTTGGACACCGAACTTGGAACGACTGAGAGACCTCTGAAGGAAGAAGTGGGCCACAACACCCCTGTTCCACACCTGAAAAGCCTGTGGCCGTTTTCTCGGAGGCTAGGGTAAAGACGGGCAGGGGAGGTGTTGCCGGAAGAGAGCCCGGAAACCCTCCTCCCACAGGTACGTCCAAAACAGTACCTTGACCACCACTTCTGCCGCAGCTGTCGCCCTCCTCCTTACATTCCAAGCTTCCGCGACGCGGTCCGGGCTGGTGCGTCCCACGATTCGGACCCTCCGGGTCTATGTTCTATCTACTGTCGCCAGCCGGCTAACGCGGCCACATTCGAAATTCTCCGCCGCGCTCACCCATTGGCTGGCTGCAGGCGGTCACGTGAGCCGACGGCGCAGCGGGGGACGCGGCGGAGTCCCGCCTAACGCGGCTAGCTCACGTGACTCACTCCGAGTCTCCACATCCGGGCGTCTACCTCTCCCCTGTTCCGCGGAGGGGGGCGGAGTCATTAGTCCGCGCGGTGACCTGAGGGCGCTTTTATGCTAAGAGTCTTTGGCTTTTAGGGGTGGAGCCGCTGCGAGATCTTTAAGGGTGGGTATATTAGGGCGTTCAGAAGCTTCCTGTTAACTTTAGTCTTGCGGCTTCCCGACTTTGAGATTGTACTCGCGGGCTCCCTCTTGTGTGAGAAGAAGCTCCTTGATTGCCCGCTCTAGCTATCGACCTGCGGCACAGAGCCGTCTGGTAGGGCCATTAAAGCCAAAATAGGAAGCACGTTTTGGATGAACGGGATATTAGGGAAGTTCCAGATATCTGAAATATTCATCTCCAGCCTCTTTGTCTGGCTACCTCTGACTCTTCAACCCTCAGGAAATGGGATTGGCATCCATACAGCTAACGAGCCAGAAGCATGGGCAATTTTCCTTACTGATTTTTTTATTCCCCCTCAGCCTTTCCATGCCCTGTCAGTCACCCATCCTGTCACTTCTGCCTTTTAATTATTTTGTTCACGTCCAAACCCCACAGTTTTCCATATAGCCAAATACCTAATCTCTTTCTGTGAACTGTGTACCAGTACTTACTCTGACCCACTCCCTTATGTTCTTCTTCGAGTGATAGTTTGGCAAAGCAGCTATGATTGAGTATAAACTCCTATGACTCCCCACTATATTTAAGATGGAGTTCAGTCTCCTAAAGATGTTTGGTCTTTAAAGAGCCGTATGGTTTCTGTTTTCACCCCTTCTGAATTTTCTTTCATTTCCTTGTAATTCATCTTGCTACTTTTGCCCATGCTATTTTGTCAAGAGCAGTCTTTCCTCCCCCCTGGGCCCACTAGTCTTATTCATGCTGCAGGTTTCATTGTAGAGGTGAGTTCTTCCAGAAAGCCTTGTCTGTCCCCAAAGCCCCCTTAATAACCTGCCTTGTACAGCCTAGTGCCATGCATGCACTTTTCCTTTGGTACCCCTTGTGGCGTTGACTTGGCATTCATTGCCCATTTATTCAACTTGCATAAGGATAGGAACTATACATAACTGTTTATAGTTAAATATTCAGCATCTTTTTAGCAATTTGCTGTTAATAGATATTCACTGGGACAATAAAAGAATAAATGAAACCTAAGCAGTTGTTTTGAATTTAGGCATTCAATTCATCCTGAAGTTCTGTTTGTTTGTTTTTTAATTTTTTAAAGATTTTTATGTATTTATTTGACAGAGAGAGAGCACAAGTAGGCAGAGAGGCAGGCAGAGGGAGAGGGAGAAGCAGGCTCCCCACTGAGCAGGGAGCCCGACGTGGGACCTGATCCCAGGACTCCAGGATCATGACCCAAGCTGAAGACAGTTGCTTAACCAACTGAGCCACCCAGGTGCCCCTGTTTGTTTGTTTTTAAGATAACTAACATTTACATCCTTATCCTTGTCTAGGCCTCACCTCAAGTCTTCTTGGCTTGAGTGGAAGAGATGAGAACATCTGTTTTTAGCCAATAACTTGTTCTCCCAGTGTTATGAGCCAGCTCGCTTCCATTCATCCTTAGTTTACTACTCTAGGCGGTGTGGTTTATATGTGCAGAAGCATCACGAAGAAAGCATCAGGGCAGGTATGATGTGCTGGCTTGGCTATAGGTGGTGGCGGCTACTGCCTACAGTGAAGCTCAGGGTTTGGGGACCACTGCTTGCGCCAACCTCAACTGGCGGCATTAATCACTCTGTTCTGCTGGTGTGGGTGGTGGCATCCGTCTCTGCAGTTGGCTTGGGGGGCCCTGGCAGCGGTTAAGGTTGGCACAGGTGCAGAGCGCAATGGAGTTGCTACTGGGTGTGCATACCGCCTCAGGTCTGTCCAGGTGGGCCTGCATCGGCCTCACCACTGTGTCCCTGTCATGTGCCTACAGCCATGACATCCTGGCCAACTCTGAAGGCAGAAATAAACATTGCAAGTCATCTTAACCAAGAAGTTGCAGTTTGTGCAAATCAGTTGAGGTGGTCCAAAAGACTTCTAGACTCACTTATCTAAAGAATATGTGGAGACTTGGGGCATCTGGGTGTCGTAGTTGGTTAAGCTGAGGACTCTAGATTCTGACTTAGGTCAACATCTCAAGGTCTGAGGTAGAGCCCCAGCCTCGGGCTCCATGCTGAGGGGGTTGAGCCTGCTTAGGAATATGCAGAGGCTTATTTCAGAGCTGTATGACCTGGATAATTGCCACCCTTTGAAAGCCACTGTATTGTTCTGGATTCACTTTCCATTGTGGATCTTCCTATCTGTTGCTCTCTGGAATTTCAGCATAGGGCAACACGTTCAGGAGAAGGTTTTTTCCATTCAGAAACCAGTTAGCTACTGATGAGGTCCTGTAGTTTCTTAACCTCACTGCACCACTTGATTCTGCCTATCTCGGCTGGTGTCATTAATTTATTAAAGTGGAGATTTTTGCTCTGCAAAAAATTGGAATGTCTTATTTTCAGACATATGTTGCATACTTTGTTCCTGCGGTATCAGTGTTGATGATTCCAACTGCTGTGACAGTACCTTCACTGATTATCTTCTACTGGTTGTGCTCCAGCTCATGGGCCTTGCCAACTTTGCTGAATACTGGTCACCAAGTCACCAGATACAGATATTCCTTATAAGGACCTCTTGGCTGACCTTTTATACTAAGTTCATTTCAAGAAAACGACATGTTTTTCAGTAATTTATTTTTTTTAATTTCTTTTCAGCATAACAGAATTCGTTGTTTATGCACCACACAATTGCATGGAGCATAAACACAATGTTTATGCTCCATGCAATACGTGCCCTCCATAATACCCACCACCTGGCTCCCCCAACCTCCCACCCCCCGCCCCTTCAAAACCCTCAGGTTGTTGTTCAGAATCCACAGTTTCAGTAATTTCTAAACAATTGCAAGTGTCATTATCACAATATATTTGGGCTTCGAAATTCATATTGATTTCATTTGTTTTTATTTAAAATCATGAATTGTGTGAAGTACTGTGGGCTAAGATATAATTCAAATATATTTGACAACACTTAAAATCTTTTAAGTGTTAGAAATGTATGTCTAATTGTATCCTAAAGGGACACCTGGGTGGCTCAGTCAGTTAAGCATCTGCGTTCGACTTAGGTCATGAGGTACTGGGACTGAGTCCTGCATCAGGCTCCTTGCTTAGTGGGAGCCTGCTTCTCCCTCTGCAGGGGGAGGGTATGCTTGTGCATGTGCTCTCTCTTTCTGACAAATAAATAAATAAAATCTTTTAAATAATTGTATGCTAAAAATATAAAAGTAGAATCAAAGTATCTGGTTCTGCTTATAAAATTACTAGAGACACCAGAACTTTGGAAAACAGGATTAGATACTGGATGATGTCAAATTATACTGACTAATCTCATACATTAAATCTTTATAAAGTAAGAGAATCCAGTGAGGTGATACTTAAAATTTTGAAGGTGTGAGGGATCATAAACCCATTTACACATCTTCTAAAGCTATGCTTTTATTTTTAGAAAAATTCTGGGTCTCTCAACATAGGGGCCTTCATTGATGACTCCCCTTACTCTTCTCCAAGGCTTTCTGGTAATTCCTGGTTAAGAAATCTTATTCAAATGGAACACACAATGATGATGAGTTAATGTGTGACTTTTATAAAATGGACTTGAGATACATGCAGTAGAGTAGTCCTTACAAGAAAGTACCTAATATGGTAGGTGAAGTTACCTTTCAACACTGAGTGTAGCACTAAGTACTGCTAGAACCCAAAGTGGAAAATCTTAAGCATTAAGTTTGTTTAGTTATAGGAAGAAAATCAAAAGGGAAGCTACTGATTAAGGAGGTGATTTTATGAACTTTATTTGGAAGGGTTAAGCACTCTAAAGGGTTACCACTATAGTAGACATTTAATATAGGAAAAATTAACAGGTAATATAAATTGTGAATCCATTTGTTTGCTTGATTTGAAAAGATGATAAAACTAATTGCAGTTTAGAATATTTATTATTAAATTTGACAGTCATTTGAGAAGATTGAAAAAATAATAGGAGAAAGGATCACAAATTAAATTTAAAAAATTTTTTTATTGCTTGAGGCCAGAAGGTATGAATGAGAAAGTGAGAACAAGGCTGGCTTAATGAGCATGCAACCTGTGCTCAGAAAAGCTTTGCACGTGGTTTGATGTTCTGCTTTTGCCCTTTTGAAATGCTTAACAATTTATATTTGAGCTTGTGATTTGTAAGCGAAGTCTGATAAGACAATGGAACATGCATATGAACAAATGAGAAAATGTGTAATATGTGTGTCCATCTGTGTCTCTTGTTGCCTCATTGCCATACTGTGTTCAGGATGTTCACTAAATGGCTTCCATGACACACATATTTTATACCTGCGACTCTGTGCTCAGAAGGGCTTCATACTTGGTGTAGTGGTCTGCTGCCATCTTGAAATTCCTTTAAAAAAAAAAAAAATATATATATATATATTTATTTACTTAGAGAGAGAGAGAGAGAGAGAGAGAGAGAGAGGGGTTGGGGGAGGGGCAGAGGAAGAGGGAGAGAGAATCCCAAGCAGACATTGCACTTAGAGCAGAGCCAGACATGGGGCTCTATCTTATGACCCTGAGATCATGGCCTGAGCCAAAACTAAAAGTCGACATTTAACAGACTGCACCACCCAAACCCACCACCCACCCTCTGCCATCATGAAATTTTTAACAATTTAAAAAAATTTTTAATTCCAGTATAGTTAACATACAGTGTTATATTAGTTTCAGGTGTACAGTATAGTGATTCAACAATTCTATACATTACTTAGTGCTCATCATGATAAGTGTACTC